CACATAGGGCAGTCTTGGGGCAAAAGACGTTATGAGTTCTAATCCCTCATGGCCCGTCAATATTTGTGTTGGTGAAATCTGGTTAAAAGGAAACCCTGAAGAGGGATATATAGGGTAGAGAAAAGTAAGAGCTAACATTTATTGAGTGTTTGTTATGTTCTGGGCACCATCCATAAATGAATTCACTAAATACTCATCAAGACTGTGTGAGGACCTGATATTATTTCCATTTGCTAGATGGGACACCTTGCCTAAGCTTAGACATTACAGCTAGCAAGTTGTGGAGTCAGGATTCAGGACCCAGGTGTTCCATTTTCAATGGTCTGCCTTTTAAACCACTATACTATGCTGCCTTTTTAGGAAGGTTACTAAAGGGCAACCCACAACCCAGGGTACACAGAAGGTGGGAAGTGAGAAGGATGCTGTTGCTAGGCAACCCATCTGGTTCTGTGAGCTGCTAATTGAATCTCTGTAGCACAGATTTATGTGTTTGTTTGAAATAACTAGTTTATTTCTAACCAGAGGAAGCTGCCTGGAATTCATGTGGCTCTGGAGGTGATGAGTCATCTTAAAGTTCACCTTGGGAGGGCTGGAGAGAAGTCTGGCAGAATCATCCTATCACCCAGCAGCAGCTCCTTCTCTTGTCCCTGCTCTGTCCCAGGCCACACTCCACTGATATCTGTGTAATGATGTTTCTGGGTGGATATTAATGACTGACCTGGGCTGTGACTCCTTCCACCATTCACACTCTGGAATGGTTTACAGCAGTGATGCACTCTTGGTTTTGACAAATGAACCTACCCACATCAGTTCCTTCCATCGTTACTAGTTATCTAGAAGGCAGTCACTTTATATTATTGCAATTCAAAATGAGTTTAAATTCATGCTAAAATTTAAATGCATATATGTATGACTTTTTGAGACATGAAGGATATTATGGAACCAAACAAACAAGATAGTATGATATTACTTTGAAACATCTGGGAATCGATGGTGTGAGCCTAATTGAAGTAAACCAAGATTTCCCTACTTTGGCCCTGTTGGCATTTTGAGCTACGTAATTCTTGGTTGTAGGGGGTTGTCCTGTCTATTATAGAATGTTTAGCAGGCCAGGCCTGGTGGCTAACGCCTGTAATCCCAGCACTTTGGGAGGCCAAGGCAGGCGGGTCACTTGAGGTCGGGAGTTCAACACCAGCCTGGCCAACAAGGTGAAACCTTGTCTCTACTATAAATACAAAAATCAGCCAGGTGTAGTGGCACACGCCTGTAGTCCCAGCTACTTGGGAGGCTGAGGCAGGAGAATGGCTTGAACCCTGGAGGCAGAGGTTGCAGTGAGCAGAGATTGTGCCACTGCACTCCAGTCTGGGCAACAAGAGCAAGACTCCGTCTCAAAAACAAATAAATAAACACAAGAATGTTTAGCAGCATCCCTACCACTACCTATTAGCACCACAACCTCTTACCCTGGTTGTGACAAAATGTTTCTGGACTATGTCAAATGTCTCCTGTTAGGCAAAGTCGCCACAGTTGAGAGCCACTGAAATGAAGTATATGCAAGTATTCTATCTACCCCTTGCAGCAGAAAACAGCATTTCTCTCTGTGATCAGATGCTAATATTCCTAATAACATTTTTCTTAACTATCCAATAAATATGTGAACACATTCTTGTGATAAAAGAGTCAAATAATTACTGGTTTACAGATCAAATTGGGAAAATTCTTACCGCACCCTCCACCCCTCAACTTTGTCCCTGTCTCTCTCTCTCACTCTTTTTATTTCTAATTTTTAGTTTTTGAGATAGGGTCTCACTCTGTCACCCAAGCTGGAGTGCAGTGCTGTGATCACGGCTCACTGCAGCCTCAACCTCCCAGGCTCCAGCATTCTCCCACCTCAGCCTCACTAGTTAACTGGGAATGTAAGTGCGCACCACCAGGCTCGGTTGATTTTTAAAAAAATTTTCTAAAAAGACAGAGCTGATCTCTAATCAGTGGTTCTCAAGGTGGCTTTTCTCCCAGGGAATATTTGGCATCTTTGGATCTTACAACTGGGGAGGGTTCTACTAGCATTCTGCGGATAGAGACCATGGATGCTGCTAAACATTCTACGCACAGAACAGCCTCTCACAACAAAGACTTATGTGGTCCAAAATGTCTGTAGTGCTGAGGCTGAGAAACCCCAATCTATCCCCCACATCCTATCACATTCTCTAGGGATAGATTCACATTACAGGTCTGAGCCTGCTCCTAGTAGTGTACACCTGTCAGATTCATGGCTTCCTACCGTCTTCTGAATAGCCTTCCCTTTTCGGGGCGGGGGGGGCGGAAATTCCCATATTCTGTATCCCGCCTCCCCAAGGAAGGAGTTCAGACCCCAATTCCCAGTCTCCTTTGGAGCCAGGACTCAGGTGTGGGGCCCAAACTTCCTCAATCAGATGCCCCTATGAGCTTTTAATGCGAAAGTGAGCAAGGTGAAGAAACAGACTCTTCTGGAAGTTTGGCATTTTGTAGGAGGCTGCAAGAGCATGTGGCATTTGATGTTAGCAGTGGCAGTGGCAGCCATTCCCCAGTGATTCTCAGCCTTGGTGATGGCAGTTTCCTCCAGTAGCAATCCCAGTCATAGTAGTTTCCTCACCAGGCCAGTATTCAGCTTGGTTCTGAGCTTCATTCTTGGAAGCTTAGCCCGGGGCCATTTCTCCATCCTCCCTAGAATTCCCTGAGCTATACAGCATCCTTTTTTTTTTTTTTTTTTTTTTTGAGACAGAGTCTTGCTCTGTTGCCAGGTGTCAGGCTGGAGTGCAATGGCCCACTCTCAGCTCACTGCAACCTCTGCCTCCCAGGTTCAAGCAATTTTCCTGCCTCAGCCTCCCAAGTAGCTGGGACTACAGGTGCGCCACCATGCCCACCTAATTTTTGTATTTCAGTAGAGACGGGGTTTCACCATGTTGGCCAGGATGGTCTCGATCTCTTGACCTCGTGATCGACCTACCTCGGCCTCCCAGAGTGCTGGGATTACAGACGTGAGCCACTGCGCCTGGACACAGCATCCTTTTAACGTACACCTTTTCTGCTTAGTCAGCCAGAGTCAGCTTCTATTGCTGAAAATTAAGAACCCTGAGTGTAAAGACTCCCCTTCTAAAAGCCGTCTAGTGGCTTTCCATACATTCTAGAATATGTCCCAAACCCTCTGCTTAGCCCACGGTTCTTCTTTATCTGGGATGTACCTATACTGTCCATCACTCTGGTCATACAGAGTCTTCCTGGTCCTGCCACCATTCCTCATTGCTCACTACTAAAGAATCCTCGGCGGGGCGCTGTGGCTCATGCCTGTAATCCCAGCACTTTGGGAGGCCGAGGCGGGTCGATCACCAGGTCAAGACCAGCCTGGCCAAGATGGTGAAACCCCCGTCTCTACTAAAAATACACAAATCAGCTGGGCGTGGTGGCGAGCTCCTGTAATCACAGCTACCCGGGAGACATGCAAAGAATTGCTTGAACCCGGGAGGCAGAGGTTGCAGTGAGCCGAGATCGCGCCACTGCACTCCAGCCTGGACAACAGAGTGAGACTGTCTAGAGGAAAAAAATATCCTAAGGCACGGCAACCCTCCTCTCTGTACCCCAATCCTCAGGTCTGTATTTATGTCTATCATAAAGGAGAGACTTTTTACGCTTTACTGCAAGAGCTGATTCACTCAGCTATAAACTTTGTGTGGGCAGAAACACGTCTTTTTGGTCTCTGAGTCTCTAGCATGTGGCGCATCTGTTACAAAGTAGACAGTACATATTTATTTGCAGAATCAAGGGCACGATGTGGACAAGTGCTGCCACCTACTGGTAGACACGTTTTATGACTCTTTTATAAGGATTTGGACTACGGTTATTATACAACGATGAAACTTGATTATTCTTTCTCCTCTAAGTTATCAGTAGTTAGACCCTCTATGGTAGCCAGCCTCCAGGACGGCCCGCAGCAATCCCAATCTATTGGCATTCATACCTTTGGGTGGATCCTCTCACACAGAAGGTTGGTTTGTAAATATGACAATAGCCATATGTGACCTCTGGAGCTAGGTCATAAAAAACATTGTGGCTTATGCCTTGGTCTCTCTGGGATCACTTGCTCTGAGGGAAGCCAGCTGCCATGTCATGGGGACACTCAGCCCTATGGGAGGTTCACGTGGCGAAAAACAGGTCTCCAGTCAACAGTCCTATGTCATCCTGGAAGCCGATCCTCTGGCCCTAGCCAATAACTGCTGCCCTGGCCTACACCTTGACTGTAACCTCATGGGAGGCCTGGAGACAGAACCACCCAGCTACGTATCCCCAAATCCCTGACCTCTAAAACTTGTGGGACAACAAATGTTTATTGCGTTGAACTTTGGGGTGCTTGTTATGCAGCAACAGATTTCTAATAAACTGTCCAACATAGATCACTGGCTACAAATAGCTCTACTTTTTTTTAAAGACAAGGTCTCGTTCTGTGGAACCAGGCCGAGGTGCAGTGGTGCCACACTGAGGCCTCAACCTCTGGACTCAATCGACCCTCCCGCCTTAGCCACCCAAGTAGCTGGGATTACAGGCACGCACCACTACGTCTGACTAATTTTTTGTATTTTTTTGTAGAGACGGGGTCTCGCCATGTTGCCCAGGCTGGTCTCGAACTCCTGGGCTCAAGTGATCCACCCGCCTCGGCCTCCCAAAATATTGGGGTTACAGACGTGAGCCACTGCGCCCGGTCAACCTAAGGACTGTTAACCTAAGGCTTCTCAGAGAAGATGCCGCTGGAGCTGGAGGCCGCGGAAGAAATGGCGTGACACTAGGTCCCGGGGAGTGACGACTGTATTGTCTGCAGCATCCCTGTCAGCACCACGGTTGTCCCACGTTAGCAAGTTCAGGAAGTCTCAGCCACCGCGGCGGAAGAGCTGGGACGCCAGCGCACTGCCGCATCTCGGCGCCTGCGCACTATGCCAGTGCTCTAAGGTAGCGCCGTTGCGCGCCGAGTCATCGATCGGTCAATTTCCCACCCCTCCAAGCCCCGCGGCCAGGCTCCTGTAAGCCGCCCGCCTGCCGCCGGCTCTCGGGGTCGGCTCCAGGGGGCGCCCTCAGGAGAGGGGCGGGTGCTCACATTCCAGAGACCGGCCGGCAGGGCGGCCACCGTGGTGGGGCTCTTTCCCCTTTTCGCCGCAGCAATCCCTCAGCTCCGTAGTCGCCACTTCGGGGTCGCAGCCGTTTGAAGCGGGAGCAGCTCGGCCCCCACGCTGTCCCCCTCGCCGCCTCTGGGTCCAGGCTCCTCGCGGATCCCGCCGCCGTCATGAGGCTGCGGGTACGGCTTGAGAAGCGGACCCAGCCGCTGGAGGTACCCGAGGCGGAGCCGACGCTGGGGCAGCTGCGCACGCACCTGAGCCTGGCCTTGCTGCCCACCTGGGGCTACAGGTAGGCGGGGGCCGGGGCGGAGCGGCCGCTGGGGAGTGGGGAGTGCTCGGGGGAGGGGGGTGCCGGGCGGCTTGAAGTCATCTGTGGGCTGCAGGCGCGGGCGTGGCCGGGCGCTAGGCTAGGTACGGGGACGCCCCGGGGCCATCACGTGAGGCCCGGGCTCTCCCGAGCGTCGCGGAGCCGTAGGCTGCCGGCGACTGGACGCGCAGGTGGTGGTCGGAGGTTCGGCTCCTGGAGAACATGGCCCAGCCTCTTGGGGGCTCTGGTCCCCTGCTTGGTGAGTCATGGCTTCTGGTTTTGCAGTAAACGAAACCAGGGAGAAGAGGAAACTCACAGTTCCCACAACTGGTTAAATTTCAAGTTGGAATTGATGAGCTTGGCTTAGGTTAAACCTTTCTGGACTGTCAGGGGTCCGAGTTAATTTCTTCAGCTGTTGGAGTATTTAAATGAAAAAGTTTGGAAACTGCTGCAAGTTAAAAATCTGCCCTCCATTCGAGGCAGCTTATATCGCTGCTGTGAATCGGCAGCAATTTTAGGACTCTGTTAGAGCGGTTCGTGCACCAGGCACTGCGGTGAATGCTTGGACTTAGCGGCTGAAAAGTTTTAGAAAGTACAGCGTGTAGTCGTGTTTCAGACCATTTGATTTTCCTGGGCGAAATGTTGCTTTTTGTTAAAACTGAAGAAAACGTTGATCTTGAGAGCTTGCAGTTTGGGGGCATAAAGTTGAGAAAGGATCGTATTCGGTTATTTGTTTATGGGACTCCAGATAAGGTGCTTTGTTTCCCCAAAAGATATTGTTTTGGGGGGACAATAATTTGGGAGTAAAGCAGCAGTGTAAGAGTGATCTTCTTCAAATACTGAGCTTGTGAAGTTGAAACTTGAGTGTGCTGAGGAAAAATGAAAAAGATGTTCCCCCGTTTTCACCTTATTTTTAGGGATTGCGTAATATGAGGCCGTTATTCCGAACTTCTCACCCTTTCATTTTTCAGGTTAAGACATTACTAGGTTGAAAGTAAGCCTGTTTTCTTCCAGATTAAAAAACAAACAAAACAAAAATCTCAAATAAGATACCGACATAACTCCTTTTAAACATTGTAGTAAGTGACATGCCTACTGTTATTTCTTCTTGTTAAACCTGTGTGTTTTACATAGTGGCATCATTACCAGTAGATTACCAGTAGAAGATTGAATAAATCTTCAAAATTAACTTGTCTTTTAAAGGTGTATATATATATTATAATTTTTAAATTAGGCAGTCTTGAAAGTATGTGAAACTCAATATGACTGTTTGCCCAAAGGGGCAAGTTGGTTTCTCTTTCAGATTTGTTTTTACAGTTGAGGCTGCTTACCTGGAAAGAATTTAAGCATCAGCTTGTGAAAGTAAACTCATTTTTCTGAAAGTATGCTCATCTTCTACTAAATGAGCAGTTTTAAAATATGTTCATATGATATTATTTTAAAAATATATTTATTGAGCAAGTGGATCTAGGATTGTCATGAAATACTTTTGTTTCATTTTTGTTTTTTAAGAGAAAAGTGAAAGCAAGTTTATTTAGAAAGTAAAGGAAGAAAAGAATGGCTACTCCACAGGTAGAGCAGCCATGAAATACTTTTAAAACGCCTGGAGTTTCTAGAATTTCATTTCCTGGAATTAAATACTCCTCTTAACTCCCCAATTTCAGAGATAGAACCCTGGAAAACTACATATTTCTTTGGAAATAGCTTTTCCCTTTTTCTAAAGTGGGAGGAAAAGCTGGTATATTTATTAAGCAGACCATGACCTTTTCTGCAAACAGATATTTGACTGTACATTGTACTAGATGCTGTTTAAAAAAGCAACCTTTTGCTGTGACAAATGACCCATAAACACATAGTTCATTTGAGGTGTTTTTCCTTTTGCTGCCAAAGTTGGGATGGTGTTTTTGTGGGCTAGTGGCAGATTTTCAACTTTTTGCTTATCAAAGCATTTTGAAAACAGAAACAGGACTGCTTGTTTCCTAACAAACAGGAATGGCTTCTATTTCACTAATTTTAATTTCTCTCCCAAAGACACTTCAATTAGTAAGAAAAAATATATGTATGAGTGAAATAAAAACATGAATTATTTGGAGCACTTTTCAAAATGCAGCTTTGTGAGAATAAGTAAACAACATAATTTTTAAAGGACTTCATCTTTTGTTAACCTCTCAAAAAATTAATGAAATTAGCATTGCCAAGTGTACATATCTTTTAAAATGTTTTATAATGTTTTGTTAATTATCCCTCACTATGTGATGAAAAACATTGTATTTATCTAATGTCAAATAATCGTGGTGCAGAAAGAATGGGAGTTTGTTGCTTCAGGCTTATTTGAATTCTGAGCTTGTTTAGCAGTGGGCTTTTGGGTTTGTGCTATGTTCCACTAAAAGGCATCATAACTGATCATCAGTAGAAGGATGAATTTAGCTTGTCATCAGTAAGAGGGACAAATTTATACTCAGTCATATACATACACTCCTCCAACTTTTTGTGATTATGAATATATGGATCTGGTATTTTGGAACCAATGTAAGTAAACTGTCCTGTAAGGATATTGAATAGACATCCCTGATTTCACCCTCATTTTGATCTTCCCAACTAATATTTGGTGGTTGCATTTATTTCACAAATTCTTTATTTGCCAGTGCTGAAGATGTGGTTTGAACTGTTCAGACAAGATCCCTGATCTTATGAAACTTAAGTTCTAGTGGTAGGGGTAGGGTAGACGGATAATAGGCAACTAAATACGATGTTTTCAAGTAGTGGTGCTACGGTAAAAACAAAACATAACAAAATAGAGAGTGCTGGAGTCTGAATGAAAGGCGTCTCTGAAGAGGTGACATTTGAGCCGAGACAGGAATGATGAGGAGAAGTCAGTCATTTGAAGATCTGGAAAAGAAAATGCAGAGGCCGGAAGGCTGCAGTGAAGTTGATCTGCTTTTTGGAAGGGATGGAAAGCTCATGTGAATAGAGAACAGTGAGAGAAGATGGATGGCACAAGAGCAGTAGGAGAAATGGGAAGAGGGCAAACGCTGGGCTTTGGAAGTTATGTTAAGGATTCCAAATAGAAGCCATTGGAAGATTTTAAGTAAAGGAATAATGGGATCTAATTTGTATTTTAAAGGTATTTCATTGCATCTTAGTTGCTATCACTTGTAAGACACATATTGTTTTATGTAACAGGAGGGAAAAAATGCTGTCAATTGATATGTCATTGATTTTAGGAAGTATCCTAATTTCAAAGATGTCATAATAAAAAATGTGCATCTTAGAATCGAGGAAAATATGGATTAATGATAGAGAGTTACTGTATCCTATCCGCCAGGTAGAGAGTTTTAGCTGTTAGAAATCTATAAACTAGCCCTTCATTGATAAATAGTTTTGATAATTTTCTCAAAACTTTAAGCTTGATATGGTGTTTGGTCCTCTAGTCCTAGCTCCTCTGGAGACTGAGGTGAGTGGACTGCTTGAGCCCAGGAATTTGAGCTGCCGTGAGCTGTGATCATGTTACTGCACTTCAGCCTGGGCAACAGCGTGAGTCCCTGTCTCTAAAAAACAAACAAAAACCAAAACTAAAATGTAGTTGGACATGGTGGTTTATGCCTGTAATCCCAGCAACTCAGGAGGCTGAGGCAGGAGATTGCTTGAGGCCAGGAGCTTGATACCAGCCTGGACAACATAGTGAGATCTAGTCTTTTCATTTCTTAGTTCTTCTAAGGTCATATTATGCACGTATGTATGTTTCAGATGTGTCATTGGAGGTAATAGAAGTAGGTAGCTCTTACTATGCTTATCCATCTTTCTTGGCAGTTCTGATACCCGATTTGCAATTACATTGAACAACAAGGATGCCCTCACTGGAGATGAAGAGACCTTGGCTTCATATGGGATTGTTTCTGGGGACTTGATATGTTTGGTTCTTGAAGATGCCATTCCAGCACCTAATTTACCTTCATCCACAGATTCAGAGCATTCTTCACTCCAGAATAATGACCAACCCTCTTTGGCCACTAGCTGCAATCAGACCAGCATACAGGATGAACAACTGAGTGATTCATTCCAAGGACAGGGAGCCCAGTCTGATGTCTGGAATGACGACAATATGGTGGGTATTAAAGACTAAAATATCAAATAGAGTAGGTGATAAGTCATAGTGAATTCTGTGCCAGTCAGGATAGTTATCTTCAATAGATTGCAGACTATATTTTTATATAACTTTTTTTAAGGGCGAATTACCTGTCCAATTTGGGGCTGGCATCCCAAAGTACCTAGTTTCTACCTGTTTGTTCAGATACTGTCCTTCAGATCAATTATCCCTTGTCTTCTATTATTGTTCCTAAGCTCATGATTCCAGCCTTGCTTCTCTGATCTAGTCTACTCATTAAGGCTATAGACATGGTCCAGTTACTTCCAAATGACTTGCAGGATATTTATACCTGGATTTTTAAATTGTCATAACAGACTTTATATGTTGAACATAAATTTGGAAATATGTGTGCTGATGTTCCCTTCTCTGTCAGTGGCACTGCTGATTTCCTGTGATTTTTGACTTCTTATATTCAGCCCATTAATAAGTTTTGTCAGCTTTTCCATTTCAGGTTCCAATGGCTCTGTTCCTCAGTCTACTTTCTAGGTTTGCCTTCTACCTACATGGTTCTGATTCTGTTGTTCCCATGGTCTCTTTCATAACTCTACCTCATAAACTTGTGCTCCTAAATTTTGAACTGAAAAAGACCATATATCTCTAGTTCAACCTTGTCATTTGACAGAAGAGGAAAATGATGTCCATCCTCCTGTACTTGTGCTCAAGGCTTTCTGAAAAGTTACTCCACCCAACTTTTTCAGGGCTAGTTTCTGTTCTTCCCTCCTTTAAACTGTCATCTCCAGTCGGAACAGACCATCATTGTCCCCTCCACCAGCTAACACATTCACCTGCTTGCATACGTGTGTGCACACACAACCTGGTGACTGCTTTTGTGACTATTACCTTTCTTCCCTCTCTTGTCTGTATTTCTACCCAACTTCCTAAACCATTGACAACCATACCCCTTTAATTTTTTTGTATTGATTATCTGATTATCTTTATTGCCTTATACATGCCTCATCATTTTTCCCACCTTTTTTTTTTTTTTTTTTTTTTGAGACAGGGTCTCACTCTGTCACCCAGGCTGGAGTGCAGTGGTACGGTCTCAGCTCACTGCAAGCTTATCCTCCTGGGGTCAAGCAATTCTCCTATCTCAGCCTCCGAAGTAGTTGGGACCACAGGCACCACCATACCTGGCTAATTTTTGTATTTTTGGTAGAGATGGGGTTTCACCATGTTGTTCAGGCTGGTCTTAAACTCCTATCTCAAGTGATCTGCCCACCTTGACCACCCAAAGTGATGGGATTACAGGTGTGAACCACTGCGCCCAGCCTTTATCCTACCTTTTAATTTTTTGAATGGTACAAATGATCACCTTTTTTTTTTTTTTTTTTTTTTAAATACCAATACATGTGCCATCTTGTTAATTGTTTTGGGCATGTATGCTTATCACCTCACTTAATTGCTGGCCTTAAACATTTTTGAGTATAAGTATTCATGGTAACTGTCATGGCATTAAGTGTAGACATATTAAAAATACTTTTTAATAAATTGGTAAATTGTGAAAATTATCTATGTCCAGATAATGGGATTTTAATTTATTTTTAAAATTATTATTGTATTTGTGTGTTTCTGCCTTATAGAGGCAAACTGGGGAAGGAGTAAGAATATTTTGCTGTATATTTAAGTTATATTTCTGAGTCTTTTTTGCTGATAGACTTGTTCTGGGATAACTTAGTAGGGCCTATTACTTTTACTTCTGTATACTTGTAAGATTGTCTAGGAGTAAGATGAAGCTTTTCATAGTGTATGTGACAGTTTACTAGTTTTTCTTTTCCTTTTTTTTTTTTGGTGGGGGGGACATAGTTTCACTCTTATAGCCCAGGCTGGAGTGCAGTGGCACGATCTCGGCTCACCGCAACCTCCGCCTCCCAAGTTCAAGCTATTCTCCTGTCTCAGCCTGCTGATTAGCTGGGATTACAGGCATGTACCACCACACCTGGCTAATTTTGTATTTTTAGTAGAGATGGTGTTTCTCCATGTTGGTTAGGCTGGCCTCAAACTCCTGACCTCAGGTGATCCACCTGCTTCGACCTCCCAAACTGCTGGGATTGCAAACCTGACCAGTTTACCAGTTTTCTTTTGGAAAATTTTGAGAAATTAATGTTGCCTGAAGTTACTAATTTTAGTTCTAAAATTTTCCATATTGCTTTATATTCTAAGACTTGTACAGGGTCATAGGAAAATCTTAAGTATGAAAACTGAGCTTGAGATTTCATAAATAATGCTTTCAAGTACATTACACTCTGCTAATGCAGAATGGGGCATTAGAAAAGGAAAATAGATGAGTAAAACTTGAATCCATAGGAGGTAAATTTTACTCTTGTAGTTAAATATAAAATTTTCTTATTTCATCATATTTGAGAATTCATCTAGTACCTCTTGAGTCTTTAATGAGAAGCACAGGTAACATGTATCAGAACCTAATATTAGCTCTCGTGCATCTTAGTCACTTGTTTTAGTCTTTTGTAAATGCCACATGGCAAAATGATCTGTTCAGAGAGGTGTGGGGCTCCTCCCATTTTTTTTTTCATTTTCATACATGTGAAGATTTTGATAAATATCCATATCAGAATAGCTCAGAGAACGTCAGTGGTTCTCATGGAGTAGGAGTAAGGTTTGACAAGCCCACCAGAGGATTTTGAGATCTCCCTCTCATGTACTCATTTTCCACATATATTCTGTCCCACACAACTGCCAGTAAGTAGTAAATGGCCAAACGTTAGACGTAATGGTAAAGAAGCAAAACCTGTGTTTCACAGTTCAGCATGATATTAAGTGGTTTTCAATGTAGTTATTTCTGTTTTCTCAAAAAACATGGAAATATTTTTGTGCCATACCTCCTTTTTAAGTAGTGTGACTTGTCATTGGCCTCTAGGTTTTAACAAGTGACTGTGGAGCTTTTCCATAAGTCATAGGGCTTAGGTCTTCAGAGATTTTGGAAGAACAGCTGTCACCTCCAGCTCCCTTACATTCCTCCAACCTTTTACACATGTTGTGTAATTTTAATTTCCTTTGCCCCTTCTTTAATAGAAATACAAAGCCTAAAAAAAAAGAAATGTGTGCTTTGCATTAAGAGTTGAGCATATGCCTAGGAAACAAGCTTTCTGAGCAAATGTAATATAGGTAACTTAGTTTTTTTGAAGCCATGTATTACATCTGAAAGCCCTGAACTGCAAGTTTGGAGATCTGGGTTCATTTCAAATTTTTATTAGCTGAATAACCTTGATTGTGTTATTTAATCTTTCTGATTTACAATTATAGGATCTATAAAAAGGCAATATCTGCCATGCCTATTTTATAGGATTGTTAAAATGTGCAAATAAGAAAACATTTTGAAAATAAAGACATTATGAAATTGTAAGGTATTATCCTTCAGCATTTGTTCAGCAAACATTTATTGAATACTTGCAATATGCTAGTACTTTACTGGGGTTACAAAAATGGGTGACATATATTCTGTTTTTTTATAAGTTTGCAGTCATGGAAGGATGCAGATATGTAATCAGAAAATTGCAATACAGTTTGATAAGGCGCAATAATTAAGGCCGTTGCAAGACAGAGTTGTGGTCTGTGTTACCTCTTTTGAAGAAGTGGAGAATACTGCAGTGAGTAAGAAGGCACTGGCAGAAAGTGAACTTGGTAAATGAGTCAGCAATCAGGTGATGAAGGACTTTGGATGCAAAGGGATTTAGAAGTTTGGGCCTAATTTGTAGGCCTGTATGTCTCAGTGTCCTCTGAAAATCTCATTTCATGAGATTGTGCTACAAGCATACTGACTGTTGAGGACTGAAGATAATGTTTTTTGGTAAAGTCTTATACACACACTATTATTATTGTTATTAGACTCTTCAGTGCTTTTATAATGCTAATAGTGTATTTTGTGAATATGGAGGGTGAGGTTAGGTGGCTGCAGCATATAGCATTTTCCACATTTATTCCATGTGGACCACCTTTGTTCCTAAGAGCATCTAAGGCACAATTGAGGGAAATGCTCTTGTCTGTGTGTGTGTGGGGGGTACTGGTGAATTTTAAGCTGGAACATAGTACATGATCAGATTCTTAATTGCCAAGAAAACTCTGGCAGCAGGGGGTGGGATGTATTGGAAGACAATAAAGTGGAAGCAGGGATACTTGCAAGGGAAGTTTTGGCTGGAGGTCAGGAAATAAATGATGAGTGTGAAGTACCAATGGAGTAGAAAGGGGCAAATTTTAGATGTATTTAGGAATTAATTTCAGTGGGACTTTGAAGACTGATCAGATTTGGGACTAGGTTTAGCTAGGTAGAGGGAGGAGTCTAGGATGATTTCCAGGTTTTTGGCATATCAGCTAGAATTAATGGAGATAAAGAGTTCAGGATGGAAGAGTAGGTCACAGGCTTATTTATTTATGAGGACTCACTTAAAATGTCTCCCATTTCTGAACCCAGTGATGTACTTTGACTTTCAGTGATTAGTTCACTTTATAATACAAAAATATATTGTGTAAAAATAAGTCTTTTTAATGAATTCATTGTTTTGTTTTCCTTTTTCAGTCAGGGCCCAGCCAAAATTTTGAAGCTGAGTCAATTCAAGATATTGTGGATATGGAAGAGAGCATAGGTTTCTATCCCTCAGAACCCATGCTCTGCAGTGAATCGGTGGAAGGCCAAGTGCCACATTCATTAGAGACCTTGTATCAATCAGCTGACTGTTCTGATGCCAATGATGCCTTGATAGTGTTGATACATCTTCTCATGTTGGAGTCAGGTTACACACCTCAGGTAATTACTGCAAGCAAAACACAAACATCATTGCTCCTACATGTGGATGGTTCCTGCCCTCAGGTTGCCCGTCGTCTGAGAGTGGCAGAGATAGACAAATATATAAAGCACTGTACTGTGTTGGTGAAGTTCTGGGAGAGACATATGCATATATAAGATGCCAGGGATTCATGGAGGAGAACATTTAGACTAGAGCTTCTTAAACTTTAATGTGCTTTGCAATTGCCGGGGATCTTATTAAAATGCCGATTCTGATTTAGTAACTGTATAATGGACCATGAACTTCTGCACATGCCTGCGTAATACCGACGTTGCCGGTCTGTGGGCCATGTTGTAAGTTACAGAGGTCTAGAGTAATTTGGTGATCAGTGTGCAGCTGCAGCATGGGATGCACTGAGCCAGGAATTAGGGTATAAAAATATTGGGCTATTTCTTGGCCTTAAGGAGTCCATACATAAATGAGGGAGAGACAAATAAAAAGATAATTATAAATAAATAAACATAGATAATAATACAATAGAAGTGTAATGGAAATATGAATAGAATGTTAGGGGGCAAAAGGAAATGGCAAACAATTTTTCTTTGAAAAAGGCTTTACAGAGGAAGTGATATTTGAGCTGGAGTTTTAAATAATCATATGGCTTTGCTAGGCAGAGAAGTAAGTCTTTGAAGAGAGAAATTAATCCCTGTTTACATGATGCAATTTTACCTATTTGAACAAAAATTTTGATTAAAAGTGTTATATTATCCTATAATATACAATATATTGTAATTATCCTACAATATAAAATATATTGGCAATATTAATGATTTGACATATTGTATTAAGAGGACTGTGTGGAATGATTATTTCAAACAGGTCAGGAGTCTTTTCGGTTTTTAATCTTTTTGAGAGTAACACCTTTCTTCATTATTTGTTTCCCTTTCATTTCGTTCCCCAGGGCACTGAAGCCAAAGCAATGTCCATGCCAGAAAAGTGGAAGTTGAGTGGGGTGTATAAGCTGCAGTACCTGCATCCTCTCTGCGAGGGCGGCTCTGCTGCTCTCACCTGTGTGCCTTTGGGAAACCTGATTGTTGTAAATGGTAATTGGATAACATAGTTATGGTTGCTGGTTTATGGATTCTTACGTTTCTTTCCAAATGTTTTATAGCCACTTCAGTGATTGGCTATCATGCTACAGTTGTGAGTCTTTCTCAACTTTAATTCCTAGACCACTGACAACATGTTTCTGGGAGATTATAGGATATGAGTTTTTTGGGTTGTTTAGGCCAGCGCCCTTCACTCTTAGGGCATCCATTTTTTTGATGTCTTAATCTTTGTAATATTTTGCTCTAGGGGGAGGTGTGATAATAGGAATGAAATGAGCCTATTACACATGAACTCTTTTGTGAATATTTTTTCTTTCTTTATGCCTGTGGATGGCTTTATTTTTTTAATGAAGGTCTTGAACTGAGACATGAGGAGCTAGAGCTGGGGTCACCATTTATTCAAGTTGGCCTCTCTGTGGCTAGCAATGCACAGCAACAGTGTTAATGTTACTGAGGCCTTAGTAAGTGTGCGTTTTATTTGCCAGGGCCTCCCCCTACAAATGTCACTCTGTATAAAGAACTTCTATTTCTCCTTCTTCATATTAAGAAATTTCACTGGGATAGCAATGCATTCCATCTTTGTGTTTTATTTTAGTTCAGATACCACTTTGGTTCATACCAACTCCTAGTGGTCTATCATAATTACACATACGGGAGATCCATTTGAATGGGCAGTAGCTTTCATTTTTATTCTGTTTTGTTTGTTTTTTAGACTTTTAGTTAGAAAGATAGTATGGTAAGATTGGGAAGACTGCATTTTTTGTTTTGTTTATTCGGTATAGCTCATCTTTTTTGTTTAGCAAAGCCAGTTGCTTTGGTAAGGCATAGGTCAAAGGTTTAGGTCAGAGGTTTTCAGTATGTTCTGCAGCTACTCATTTCTGAAAGTTAGGTAGAAGCCCTGTCACCACTTAAACATTGAGCAGGAAATCTGTTTCATTTATTGAAGTTCTGTGTAAGATTCTGTTAGAAAAAAAATTTTTCTGCTAAAATCTATTTTGAAAGCTACTGACCTGTGCTGTCTTGATCTTTGAAATGGAGGATAGTTCTCATTTTCCCTCTTATGAAATTTCTTTTTTCTTTTTAATTGTTGGGTTTTTTTTTCTTTTTTTTTTTTTTGAGATAGGGTCTCGCTCTGTCACCAAGGCTGGAGTGCAGTAGCCACAGCACGGATCATTGTATCCTTGACGTCCTGGGCTCAAGCGATCTTCCTCAGCCTCCTGGGTAGCTGGGACCACAGGTGTGTGCCACCACACCTGGCTGTTTTTTATTTTTTGTAGAGATGAAGTCTCACTTTGTTGCCCAGGCTGGCCTCGAACTCCTGGGTTCAGGCAATATTCCTGCCTTGGCCTCCCAGAGTGCTGAGATTACCCTGGCCTGTTATGAAATTTCTATTTCTTTAGTTATAAGATTCTTTGAAATGTTATTTTTAAAAAATCTCAAAACTTTAGCTTTATCAGCTTTGGTGGTTACTTCACATTTGTCAGGGCATGACTGCCTGATGACACTAGGACCTAGCAATGTCTCTTCAGCAGTTCATCATAATTAGCAAATGTAGCTTTTAGTTTGGCATTCTTGAACACAGAGTGTCAACAGCTACCGCCTTCATCTGATAATCATTTTGCTATATCATATTAAACTTGCAAGGTTGAAGTTACCAGATAGTAAATGTGAAGTTCTAATTTTTGTTTTGATTTCTTAAAGATGTGTATAATAACCTGTATTCACTAGTTTCAGGATACTTAATGTAAAAAGAATAGCTGCTAAACGTCTTGATGATTTCTTAATTTCTGATGTTTTGTTTCTTTACTATTCTTGGCAAATCAGCTCCTGGCAGATGTGCATGGCAGCCAGCCATTCCAGGATTGATTCTTTGAAAAGGAGCAGTGTGTCTTTAAATCTTTCCTTCACCCAAGGCATCCTGCTTGGTCACATGTGCATAAGCACATCACTGGGTTCTTTCACGGAATGAGATGAAGTGCGTCTTTGTATACATGAGTAAAATTGAACCCTCTGGTGATGTCAAGAATATTGGTCCTTTGGGTCTGGAAGAGAGATGATGCTATGAAAACCAGCAAGATTCTTTTAATGAACAAGGGAAGACTCATTGCCAAGGGTTAAATAAAAAATAAATGGAGTTTTTAGTGACTTCATTAGAAATAATGATTTTACTGTGTTTAGTTGCCTCTGATTAACCTTGTTGCATATCTTTCAATTACTAATAAGCTGCTGCTGGTAACACTTAGTGGATTTATATAAAGATGCTTACTGTAGTTTTTAAAGGTGGTGTTGTAGAGTGATTTTACTTCATCTGATGCCAGGTTTACACTTTTGAACTTGCTATGAGAGAAAGAAATAGGCGAAGAACAGTTTGTTTTGTATAATGTGTCCTTAGTATATTGGGAGCAAGGAAATGCAAGCTCATACTAAAAAAGGCAATCGATGAAGTGACAAAATTTTTTGTCATCCTTCTTTTATTTACAGCTACGCTAAAAATCAACAGTGAGATTAGAAGTGTGAAAAGATTGCAGCTGCTACCAGAATCTTTTATTTGCAAAGAGAAACTAGGTAATATAAACATGATTTAACTTTTGGGGTGAAGCTTTGTTAAATTCATGCAAGAAAAGAAGCTGAAAGATAATGTTGAAAAGTCTGAAAATTTCTATGAGATTAAAGCATATTGAAGACAATGTGGTCTGTTTAAGAATGCAAAGATTTAAAAAATGTGAAAGTTTTGGTTATAATTTGAGGACTTTCCTGTTTCTCTTAGGGTCATAGAGTGCTGAATTATATTTTATGAAATAAGGCTAAGTTATTATATTATAATTCATATTATATTTTACGAAATAACACTAAGTTATTTCATAAAATATAAGTAAATTGTTACACTATGATGATAGTTCATAGTTTCTGTACTAATTTTTGGAGATCTCTCTGGCATTGTATTTAACCAATATGGAAGGGATCTGTGTTTCATGGAAGTAATTCAATGTCAAGTGTATTATTGAAGATTATTGGAGGAAAAGCTGCAAGCAAAATGTTTGTTTAAACCTATATAAATTTGATTGCTATTTTATACCGATTGATATGTTACCAAAAGTTTGCATTCTAGGTATGGTTTTGCCTAAAGTCTATAAAATTATTAATAGATGCAAAGAAGACAGGTTTTTCTTTTTATCATTTTTCAGTTAAACCCAAACTGTGAGAGGCAGTTATAGGTGGTTGGAGGAGAAGAGATAAGTTGGAAAGCGGAACTGACATTTTTAAGTGCCTGTTTCATTTTGGACTTGTGCCTTTACATGTTATTCCATTTAATCTTAGTAAACTTAGGAGGGTTTTAAGAGCCAGTTGGGAATGTTATGGTACAGTGGGAAGATGGTATTTACAGCAGTCCTTTAGGAAAGGCTGGCTAGATTGATATTGTTGCTTTGAAGACCTAAAGACTTATTCTTGTTCATTCCTAGGGGAGATCAGCACTGAGATATTGACTGATATTAACTAAAACTGATAAGAAAAGGAGACAGCAGAATACATATTTATAATGGTCTCTGGTTGGACATAGAATCAGAACTTGGACATTAGCTGAATTGAACATTTCTTTTTTTTTTTTTTTGAGACAGAATCTTGCTCTGTCTCCCAGGCTGGAGTGCAGTGGTGTAATTTTGGCTCACTGCAACCTCTGCCTTCCAGGATCAATCGATTCTTCTGTCTCAGCCTCCTGAGTAGCTGGGACTATAGGTGTGCACCACCGTGCCTGGCTATTTTTTTGTATTTTTAGTAGAGATGGAGCTTCACCATGTTGGCCAGGCTGGTCTCAAACGCCTGAGCTCGTGATCGGCCCACCTCGGCCTCCCAAAGTGCTGGGATTACACATGTGAGCCACTGTGCCCAGCCAAGTTGAACATTTAATGTCAGACTAGGCCAGAGTTTTTCAATGTTTTTATTATCACTTCCCAAAGGAAGCTTTGGAGATTTTTCCCCCCAATCTTTCTCCTTCATGAAATTTTAATACTATAAATATAGTGTATTTTTATTTATATATCATGACCCTTTGAGGGATCATAAACCAATATAATAGTTTTTTAACCACTTAAGGACCAGTTTTTGCCCCCTTGAAGATGCATAAACTGGACAGATGAATCTGTTTAGACTCTTGTATCATTAGGGTCAGAACAACTTGAAATTCCTTGGCTATGACACTCCACATTTCTCACCGTATAGGGAGGACCTTGTTATGGGGAGTAGAAATACTCTACACTGTACAACAGTAGAGGTTTTTATGCCTATTTTATAGATCAGGAAATAGGTCTAGAGGAGGCTAAGTTACTTAAGGTTCATAGAGCTAATAAATGGTGAAATACAGAATTGGAATAGATTGACTGACTCCCAGGCTTTTAAAACAACCTTTACAGGAATGTAGCTCAGATTGCTATTCTTTATCTGGTTTCTCTTAAATAAGGAAAAAGGAAATGGAAGGGAGGGAGGATGTTAAATACTGCTAAATTACAAGTTTATGGACTGTTACAATGAAGTGTTTTTAATAAAGTCTTTTATGTTGGGTAGGAATATGCTGCTCATTTGGCAGGTCATTTTAATGATTTTTTTTACTGTGGCTTATAGCACCTTATAGCATCCTTTTATTCATAAGTTCCTAATTAAATAGTTATATGCCAGGTTGCTGAAGGAAAAAATTCATTTAAAGAAAATCAGTTTTCACACTTGAAAAAAGCCCTTGAGCCAGATTGATTTAAAAAAATGGTATCTTGACAGCAAATTTCAACTCAAGATTACAAGTCACACGACAAAGATTTAGACTTCAGCTGCATATCTCTCCTCCTTATCAATTCCATAATACTGAGTGTTTTATTTGTTATAGATAGTGAAATACATAAATGTGGAATGGGGAAGGAGCAAGCCTAAATTGTCTACTGATACACTAGGCACTGCTTGTGGAGCTTTAAATTATAACAACACTTATTTGGTGTAGTGATGGTATCTCCTTGAAATAGTTGAGCAAAAAGATGAGAATCAGAGGGGCAGGTTATTTGTCCAAGGCTGTACACTTGGTAAGTAGCAAAACAAGTGGGAACCTCAGCTGCAATTTGGTAGTAAAGCTTCCATACTTTAATGTACATGTGAGTCACCTGAGGATCTTATTAAACTACAGGTTCTGATTTAGTAGGTGTGCTGAGGCCTGAGATTCAATAATTCCAAACAGTTAAAGGTATTGTCAATTCTGGTGATCTGTTGGCCACACTTTGAGTAGCAGTGTGGTGACTAAAAATGAGGGCTTTTGAGCCACACAGACTTGTGTTTGTGCACTGTTCTGACACTTACCATGGGGCTTTGGACAGGCTCTCTGTACCGTGATCTGTTTTTAAAATGGAGATAGTAATTACTTAGGAAAGAACTTCTGATGTTGAAAGCTTGAAAAATGCTTGACACAGGTGCTGACACATATCATGTGATAAATGCTATTAATTTATCAGGATCTATGCATTACAGGAGCAGTTCCTCACTGTATCCTCAGTGCCCAGAACAGATTAATAGCTATTCAGGAAATCTTAATTGTATGTATGAATCTCACACAATAGTTTTTGTATACAATTGTGGTCTATGAGCTATAGAGGGTTGGGCACAGCTTACTAATTTGATATCATGGAATTTTTAGCTTTTATATCTAAGATTCAGTTTTATCAGAGTCTTGTACCATATTTCTCCTAGGAGAGAATTTGGTACATGCTAATCTTTATGAATTATTTTTGAATATTTATTTACCATGTTGATTGGGTTTGGCAGAAATAGAGGACAGTTTTTTCTGCTTGATTTTGGGCTTTGATTTTTCATTAAAAAATATTCTAGGGGAAAATGTAGCCAAGATATACAAAGATCTTCAGAAGCTCTCCCGCCTCTTTAAAGACCAGCTGGTATATCCTCTTCTGGCTTTTACCCGACAAGGTAAGAGATGAAACATTGTCACAGTTCAAATGGCTATAAAGAATAGTAAGCATACTTAGTATTCTTGGTGAGCATGACATCTGACTGCCCTCTTTTCTCCTCCTAGCAAAATGTTCCTCTTTTAAGACTGAGTTTAATATTAATTCCTTAAATGCTATTTACTTTCTCTTTGTATCTCCATACCATTTTGCACATATTTTTATTGTAGTCTTTTTTCCATGTACTATAATTGTTTATATGATTTTTTTCCACCTAAGGTTGGGAATACCTTGAGGGTAGGTAATATGTCTTACTTTTGTATTCTTGTGGTCTAGCATGGGGTCAGGAACATAATAGATGCATGCTCTCTCTCTTTCTCTCTCTCTCTATATATGTATTTTTTCATATATATATACACACATAAGGAAATGGAAGGGAGAAAGGACATTAAATACTGCTAAATTAAAAGTTTATGGACTGTTACAATGAAGTATTTTTAATAAAGTCTTTTATGTTGGGTAGGAATATGTATGGTCTGTAATTGGATCTAAGGTTTTTTTCTTTTTAAAAATCATTTATTGGAGGCTCTATGCCGGCACTTTGTTGGATATTTCACATGCATTCTTATTTACTGCTAATGACTTTAAAGTAAATTTTATTGTACATGACAAAATCATAATTTAGTAGGGTTTACAATTAACTCAAGATCCTTGTATTAGCTTTCTTTTACTTGTGTTGCAGTAAAAAAAAAAAATTAAAATCTCAATGACTTACAGTGAAATTTATTTCTCACTCATGTACACGTTGTGTGTTGGTTTGCTTTGGCTGAAGGGTTGTCTTTATCCAGGACATGCTCCTCTTGTGGTAGAAGGAAAAGAGTACCAGTAGCCCAGTTATGTGTTGGTTGGTTCAGTGCTTTTGCTCAGAAATGTATGTCACCTCCACTCACATTTCACTGGAAAAAGTAAGACAAAAGTGGCCACGCGTTATGGTAGTGGGGTGGGGAAGTATAATTATGTGTAGGAAGTGATTGAGAGCTATAATACGATCTACCGCAAATCTTCGACTAGCAGGTAGTTTCTGACTTATATGAACAGATATGTGGCTTTTATTTGCTCTCTGTATGTAGAGAAATAAGTAATATTTTTGGTGTCAAGTTGAATGGTGGCATGTCTGTTATTACAGTAGTCTTCCCTTTAGTTGGTGATGAGGGAAAGGGAGTAAAGTGAATTGAAAAACACATGTAGATATGTCTTTGTTGGATTTTGATTATCTTTGCTAGTGGAGAATAGTACCACAAATATTTTGAAGGTGCTAATAACCAAAACATAATTTTTATTTGACTTAGAACATACTATTTTTCTTTTTCTTTCTTGGCTTTGTTTCTGATTTATCTCTTTTTAGCCTGCTAGGCTTCAGATAATAATAATTGCTAACACTTGAGTGCTTATGCATGGTGTACCAAACATTGTTCTAAGCACTTAATATGTATTAATACATTTACTTCTCATACAACTCATTGAATTAGGTGGGATGTAATATTAATCCATTTACAGATGAAATTAAGTTAGAGTTTAAATAACTTGTCCAAAGGCATACAGTTAATGACTGGCAGGGAACCAGTTACAAAAGCCAATGAATCATTCATTTTCAGTAGTTGAATAGAGAAATTTTGTTGCATTGAATCTTGTTTGAGACAGAAGAGGCCATTGGCTAGTATTTAGCAATTGTCATAATTATTTGGTTTATATTAAAAAGCATTTGTCTTCCTACTAAAACATAAAATGAATAAGGGCCTAGAGTTGTATGAGTTAGTAGTAATTACAGTCAAGCTGGGGTTAAAAAATTTGTTGTAGATGATGCATACTTGGGGATAGTTAAGGGTACCATCTAATTTTTTGCCTCTTTAGAAAGGAACAGGTGGCAACTTTGTTGACTATGTAGAGAAAGCCAGATGTTCTTTACTCAGTAATACCTGTTACTTCTCTTTTTTTCTTTTTAGCACTGAACCTACCAGATGTATTTGGTTTGGTCGTCCTCCCACTGGAACTGAAACTACGGATCTTCCGACTTTTGGATGTTCGTTCCATCCTGTCTTTGTCTGCAGTTTGTCGTGACCTCTTTACTGCTTCAAATGACCCACTCCTGTGGAGGTTTTTATATCTTCGTGATTTTCGAGGTGATTTCCATAATGGCATACTCACAAGAAAGGGCTTTTTCTTTTCATTGTCTTAATTGCTCTGCTTACCAAAAGTTTTTAGTTATAGGATTTTTCTGTTGCAAATGATTATAATAAATAGCTTTAAAGAGACTCTAAGCTTCATATACCTTTGCCTGTGTCCCCAAAACTCTCTCATTTTTGTGTTTTGCACAAGACAAATCGCTCATTAGACTAAGAAGAATAGTCTAATGAGTGATTTCAGGATAGAAAAATTGAAGTAAAACTGGCTTATTTTCTCTCTAGAGACGATACTCAGTATCTGACTTAGAAATGAGCTGGCATTTCTGGATTACTTTCACAGTTGAGACCAGTGTGTAAGTCAAGGGAGTTTTGTTGACCTGTGCCATGTTGCTATGGCAGCTTTATTTCTGTATGGTCACATTATGGTGACCTGGTAATCACTGTGGCAGTGATGATGGTAGAACTTGTGCGTCAGGATTTCCTGCTACAAGACCAAAAACCTGACTGTGGAATTTTTTTTCTGCCACCACCATTTTACTACATATTAGTGTTTTAAGATTATTTGACCCTGGGATGAGTCATGAAATCCATTTAATGGGTCATATTACAAAAAAACAAAACCCACAATGGAAAAATCTGTATTTATTTTATAAATAGCATGCCTATTTATAAAGTAGGAGTAAACTTTTATTTCAATTATGTAGAGGTAGGTGTATATAGTGTTGCAATGTAAAATTTTTATGTGGTTTATATAAAAATTTTTGAATGATAATGCTATATGTGATGTTAACATATACCACCTTAGTAACTATAAAAATCTGGTGGGTAGGTACCTCCCATTAACAACAACAACAACAAAAGAATATCATGTAGAGTCATTTAGATTGCTAAAAATTTTTTTCTTTTAAAATTTCAAAATATAAGAAGTGTAAATGACCTGGTTTGTTCCTTTTCCTCTTCTTTGATTCCTGAGGTCCTCTTTCTGCTTTATTTATGTCCCTGAATTTGAAGTATAAAATGTTATTTTGTTAAAGTTGGCAGCAAGAAAGCATCATCTCAAAAAATAATTATTTTATTTTATTTTTTGAGACAGGGTCTAGTTCTGTTGCCCAGGCTGGAGTGCAGTGGCACAAACATAGCTCACTGTAACCTCCAACTCTTGGGCTCAAGTGATCCTCCCTCCTTAGCCTCCTGAGTAGCTGAGACCATAGGCATGCGCCCCCTTACCTGGCTAACTTTTTTGTTTGTTTGCTTATTTTTAGTGCAGACAAGGTCTTGCAGTGTTGCCCAGGCTGCTCTCAAACTCAAAAAAAAGAATTAAAAATAAATTATAGTCAAAAAGAGAAGACAGAATGACTGATGTATATGGAAGGACTGACAAAAAGCAGGGTATGATATAAATACTCATAAAAGGAAGAAATACCCTTTCACTTGTATATTCAAATTTAGGATTAAAGCACAATCATTCTCTAATTTCCAGATTGTGATCCACAAGTTCATTTATAAGCTGTTCAGATTTTATAATGAATTTTTCTATAGATATACTGTTATGAGGCTAGAGCTTTTATAAATCTTATTCCATGCTAATGTAATAACTTGTAGAGAAGATATGAGCATCTTTTATCCAAACTCTTTTGTATGCTTAAAGTCGAATGGGCTTCTCTTTCCTCATTTCACATATTTCCAGTAAATAAGTACATTAAAAAATACTCAGTTATGGTCATGCTTCTGATAGCCAAGTCATTCAGAACATGGTTGGGAGAAAATAGTCTGACTGGAATATGGATGGAAGCCTAAGTCAGTTTGACCTCCAGTAATGAAGCTGGGCTGTAATACAGAAACTCAGAGGCTGTTACCCAGTTTGGTGTAACATGAGACATTGGACTACAAGTAGGTGACACACCTAGATGAAATTAGGGGAGAAGATATAGTGTAGGACCAGGACCAGTTAATGCAGGAAGAGAGTAGCCACATGTTCCTCCATAGTCCCTGAGGAATCACTGGACTGAATTACCATGTGGCACAGAACACTGATGGTCACCCTTAACCATCAATGAAGGGTTTGAATTTAGATGAGAACGTACAAATGATATAGTGTGTGTTATATAAATGATGAGTGTTTTTTTTTTCTTATGCTTAATGGGTAAGTTTCACTTTTTTTAGGAGAAAAACAAAATCCATTGTTTAATGCTGGATGAATGAAGTGTTTTAAAATCCTTATTTTTTGTTTTTCCTTTCTAGACAGTACTGTCAGAGTTCAGGACACAGATTGGAAAGAAGTACGTATTTTTAAATAGTAAGGCTAATGTCCGTAACACAGAAATGACTAGTTAATTAATATATTAAGGGTGTATTTTCACTTTTATATGATGTAATGAAATCTGTTTTCATTTAATTGATTGTAAAATTTCAGTAAATGAAAACGTTTTCAACTTTTTTAGACCCAGTTCTTATTTTCTTACATGGAAAAATGTTAACACAATGATTTTCATCTTTACTTATTATGAAACATTCTTCTGTTGCAACAAAATTTAAATGGGTTGTCTTTGTGCTGGAGTAGTCATCATCTGTTAGCACAGCTAGTTAGAATAGTACCTTATGAAAAGAATAAATTATATTGTTTCATGAGGTACTATTCTAATGTCTCCATAACAAAAACTGCAAGGTGGAGCAGCAAGTGCTGATGGAGAAGCTGCTGCAAGTTATCCAGAAGATGTAGCTAAAATCACTGATGAAGGTGGCTGGACTAAACAATAGAATCTTTCAGTGTAGATGAAACAGCTTTCTATTGGAAGAAGATGCCATCTACTTCATAGCTAGAGAGAAGGAGTCAGTGCCAGCTTCAAAGGACAGGCTGACTCTTGTTAGGGGCTAATGCAGTTGGTGATTTTTGAAGCCAGTGCTCATTGACCATTCCTAGGGCCCTTAAGAATTATGCTAAATCTCTGCCTTTGCTCTGTAAATGGAACCACAAAGCCTGGATGACAGTACATCATTTATGGCATTTGCTGAATATTTCAAGTCCACTATTGAGGCCTACTGCTTATAAAAAATATTCCTTTTAAAATACTACTGCTCATTGACAATGCAGCCAGTCATCTCAGAGCTCCGATGGAGATGTACAAGGAGATTAACATTTTCATGTCAGCAAACACAACTGCATTCGGAAGCTCATGGGTCACGGAATAATTTTGACTTTGAAATCTTTTTAAGAAATACGGCTGGGCGCGGTGGCTCAAGCCTGTAATCCTAGCACTTTGGGAGGCCGAGGCGGGTGGATCACAAGGTCAAGAGACATGGTGAAACCCCCTCTCTACTAAAAATACAAAACATTAGCTGGGCATGGTGGCGCGTGCCTGTAGTCCCAGCTACTCAGGAAGCTGAGGCAAGAGAATTGCCTGAACCCAGGAGGCGGAGGTTGCAGTGAGTCGAGATCGCGCCATTGCACTCCAGCCTGGGTAACAAGAGCGAAACTCCGTCCCAAAAAAAAAAGAAAAAAAAAAAATACATTTTGTAAGGCCGTAGTTGCCATAGACAATGATGTTGTCAGAGGTGATGGATCTGGACAAAGGAAATTGAAAACATTTTGGAAAGGATTTACCCTTCTAGATGTCATTAAGCATATTCAGGATTCATGGGAAGAGATCAAAATATCAACATTAACAGGAGTTTGGAAGTTGATTCCAGTCGTCATGGATGACTTTGAGGGGTTCAAGACCTCAATGGAGGAAGTGCAAATGTGATGGAACTAGCAAGAGAGCTAGAATTAGAAGTGGAGCCTGAAAATGGGACTGAATTGCTGCAATCCCATAATCAAACTTGAATGGATGAGAACTTGCTTCTTATGGATGAACAGAGAAAGTGGTTTCTTTTTAAAAAAAAATGTCAATATTTTTTGGGTTAAGGTGGTTTTCTGTTACATGGGTAAGTCCTTTAGTGGTGATTTCTGAGATTTTAGTGCCCCCGTCACCCAAGCAGTGTACACTGTATCCAATATGTAGTCGTTTAGCCCTTACCTCCCTCCCAGCCTTTCTCCTTAAGTCCCCAAAGTCCATTATATCATTCTTATGTCTTTGCATCCTCATAGCTTAGCTCCCACATATAAGTGAGAACATACAAGATTCGATTTTCCAGTTCTGAGTTTCTTTACTTAAAATAATGGCCTCGGCCGGGCGCGGTGGCTCAAGTCTGTAATCCCAGCACTTTGGGAGGCCGAGGCGGGTGGATCACGAGGTCAAGAGATCAAGACCATCCTGGTCAACATGGTGAAACCCCGTCTCTACTAAAAATACAAAAAATTAGCTGGGCATGGTGGTGCGTGCCTGTAATCCCAGCTACTCAGGAGGCTGAGGCAGGAGAATTGCCTGAACCCAGGAGGTGGAGGTTGTGGTGAGCCGAGATCGCGCCATTGCACTCCAGCCTTGGTAACAAGAGCGAAACTTTGTCTCAAAGAAAAAAAAAAAATAAAAAAAAAAAAAAAAAAAATGGCCTCCAGATCCATCCAAGTTGCTGCAAAAGACGTTGTTTCATTCCTTGTTATGGCTGAGTAGTATTCCATGGTGTATATATTACCACATTTTCTTTATCAGTGGTTTTTTGAAATGGAATCTATTCCTGGACAACAAAGGATTTCAAATATTACATAAATTTAGTTGACAAAACAGAGGCAGGGTTTGAGAAAGTTGACTCTGATTTTGAAAATTTTACTGTGGGTGATATGCGATCCAACAGCATCGCATGTACAGAGAACTCTTTCATGTAAGGAAGGGTCAGTCAACGTGGCAAACTTCACTGTTGTCTTATTTTAAGAAATTGCCACAGCCACTTCAGCCTTTAGCAACCAGCACCCTGATCAGTCAGCAGCAATGGGCATGGAGGCAAGACCCTCTACTAGCAAAAAAGATTACAACTTGCTGAAGGCTCAGGTGATTGTTAGCATTTTTTATCAATAAAGTATTTTTAAATTAAGGTATGTACATTGTCTTTTTAGATATAATCCTTTTGCATGCTTAGTATAGTGTAAACATAGCTTTCATATGCACTGGGAAACCAAAAAATTTGTGTGACTCACTTTATTGCATTGGTTTGGGACTAAATCCATAATATCTCTGGGTTGTGCCTATAGATCTTTACCATCAAAGCAAATTAGAACTATAGGGAAACATGCAGATCACTGACCTTACCTTGTTCTTTTATTTTCTTTTTTCTGCAGCTGTACAGGAAGAGGCACATACAAAGAAAAGAATCCTCAAGAGGGCGGTTTGTGTTGCTTCTGCCATCGCCACCTCACCCCATTCCATTCTATCCCAACCCTTTGCACCCTAGGCCATTTCCTAGCTCCCTCCTTCCTCCGGGAATTATCGGGGGTGAATATGACCAAAGACCAATACTTCCGTATGTTGGAGACCCAATCAATTCACTCATCCCTGGGCCTGGGGAAACACCCAGCCAGTTTCCTCCACTCAGACCACGATTTGATCCAATTGGCCCACTTCCAGGACCTAACCCCATCTTGCCAGGGCGAGGCAGCCCCAATGACAGATTTCCCTTTAGACCCAGCAGGGGTCGGCCAGCTGATGGCCGGCTTTCGTTCATGTGACTGATTTGTAATCACATTTCTCGAGCTCCATTTGTTTTTGTTTCTAAACTACAGATGTCAACTCCTTGGGGTGCTGATCTCTAGTGTTATTTTCTGATTGTGGTGGTGAGACTTGCACTCCCAGAAGCCTTTTAATAGATATATTTATAGCTGTAGGAGTGCTATGATCCAAAGGTTCCTCTGTGACAAGGTTGGCCTTGGGAATAAGTTGGCTGCCAATCTCCCTGCTCTGGGTGTTCCTCTAGATTGAAGGTTGTTTCCTGATGATGTTCTGTACCAGATTAAAAAAAAAGTGTAAATTACATGGTGTTCTTGACTTTTATTACAGAAAGATATGTAATAAATATTCAGAACAGATTCACAATGTTACTTGGACATTTCAGAATTACCAGAGAACATAGTGTAGGCAGATAATTTTTATAAGGGGTTTCTGTTTTTTGTTTTTTTTTTTAAGCGGTACTCTGTCTTCTGATAATGGCCTGATTTATGAAATGAATGAAAGCAGAGCTAGTTTGGTTGAACTGGACTTGGGGTGGGTGCTTTGGCCACACACCCACTCAGTCCATCTCTTCTTTGTCTCTTCAGGTCTTTCTTGGGTTCTGTGGTGAAACTTTCTGGGCTATGAAGCAATGCTGTTTAAAGGCCATTTGGTATTAGGGACTCTTGTTTGTGGCTCCTGGGATGAGGTGGTTATGATTTTGTTTTCCTTGTGTTTTGAACACTTAGCCCCTAATTTGTAGTCTAAGTAGAAGATAACTTTTAAATAAGTTTTGTTGCTTTGAGTGCTAATCAGGTACTTGTTCTTCAAAGATAGCCTCCTTTTATTTGAAGAATATTTTGCTTTTCAGACTTAAATACACAAAATTCAAGATTTATTTTTTCTACAACAAGAAAAAGGCCAAACACAAATGACTTATACAAATGACTATAGAAACATGCTATAGTGACAAAATCTGAATCACAACGTAGGAATAAAACACTACTAGCATCTGCAGAAAATAGGAATATTGCCAATGTCTTCCTGCTTTTTTAAAAATTCTGTTTTGCATGTAAGGAAATGGCTTGGAATGTTATGTGCTGCAAGAATATTTTGAGTCCTACATACAAGTGAATTTTTTTTGCTACACATGTATATTGAGTTTGTTTTTTTCATCACAGTGAAGAAAATTCAGTCAATATGATTTTCTTGAGGCCATGTTACTTTTAGTAGCTTAATGTATATTAAAGGGTGGGGGTTGTTAACATTTCTTTCTGTGGTATTTTGCGATATCTGAGCTACAGTACAGCCTTTTAAAAATGTGTTAATTAGATGCCGCATGGCTTTAACTGGGTCTGATTAACAAGGTCCTCCTGAAGCTTTGTTGGGTCAATATACTGGTTTTCTTTGTGGCTTTGCAATGTTGCACTATGCAGGGGGTGTATGTATGTGTGTAGTGGGCATGGGAGGACATAGTGACGACCAGAAGCACCAAATACTATAAAACAGGTATTCAGAACGCAGTCTTTTTTGAGTGGTCCTTGAGAACTCTATGGATGGTGCTGGTGTCCCGTGAATACTAGTGCTGCTCTCCATCCTCATCTCAGACTAACTTACAGATGTTACAAATTTCTTTTAGTTTAGGATATTGGCAGTGTGCCTAAACCTAAATTTGCAGATCTCTGACAATAGTTTTTTCTAATTCTTAAGACAATCCTCAAAGCATTTCCTCTTGAAAACCTGACTTTATAGTTAGAAGCTTGTGAAATCCTACATTCTTGTCATTCAACTGAGACTGTTGAGCTGTTTGTGTTGCTGGTGTGTTATGAGAGGGAAACAATAGTTTAGCAGTTAACCTATTCACTGCATGATTTTCTGAGATCACCTGGATATATTATAATGGAAGCAAGAGAGGTTAGAATGCCATAGCAAGCATCTTAGTAAGATGTGGTTCGACATGGTTGACTTGTAGTCCTACGACTTTCTGTAGCCCTTTATTTTTCCCTTTACTTTTATTAACAGGGGCTTCCTCTGCCCTATTCCCCCCATTTATAAATGAAAGATACAGATTTGACATGTCTGGGAATCAAATCATGGAAGGTGTCCTTCCAACTTAAGATTTTGAGATTCCTTGTGTAAAAAGTGTTGAGTTCTGACTCTTCGACTCTTGCTTGGGTCTTTCCAATTCCTGAGACCACTGCTTTGCTTATTGCCTCTAATTCTTTAGCAGAGCTGGACATTTCTACTTTTTGCTCACTATTCTCAAGGCCCACCACTAAGGCTTGCCTTTCTCCTACTCTAGGCAGTAGCTGCGTGATTACAGAGCTTCAGAGAGGAGCTGGGCAGGTCCCAGTGCTCTGCTTGCCATATGCATGAGCAGTGCTTCTTTGGGTAGTCTTCAGTTGACTGTAGAAGATGTGGAGTGGATAAGATTATTGGGAAGTACTGGGTGAGTCACATAGAAGAAATATTTAACTGACTAGCTTAAATGTCACTCCTGAGATTCTCCAACAGGTTACAGTACTTAGTTTCTGCTATTCCATAGCAAAACATAATATGGTAACTGAGTGCCAAAGAAATATGACCTTGCTCCTGCTCTAGACTCAGTGAAAGACCGTGGAGAGCAGACACTTAGAATATGAGAGTCTGGAAACAAATTACAGTTGAGAAGACCAATCTGTATAAAAATAATGAAAGGGATTTAGAATTTTCAAGGATTAAAACATATGTAGTCAGATGCAGTGGCTCGCACCTGTAATCCCAGCACTTTGGGAGGCCTAGGTGGGAGGGTTGCTTGAGGCCAGGGGTTTGAGACCAGCCTGGGCAATATAGCAAAACCTTGTCTCTATAAAATAAATGTATTTTATACATGTGTTGTAGAAAGAACGTTTAGTTTTAGATTGATTTCCCTTACAGGAATGCCTCACCAGTTCCAAGAAATATTTCCCAGCCACTTTCTTCTTTTCCTCTTGGCCTGCTAATTCATCTCAATGCAAGGTCTAAGTGTCCACATCTCATCTCTTTCAGCTGCGTGTCTTGTCCATGGAAACAGAAGGGAGCCTCTGTGTCTCTTATGCATTGTGTTTGATCAATGAACGGCTTTAACTTGCTTGTTGCCCAGCCTTCCAATTTGTCTTTTACCAAACCAAAAGTGCTACCTTCTATTAGACCGAAACAATTTAATCAGCAGCAACTTAGGAGTCTAGGACAGCTTTTGACACTTAGTATAGTTAGTAACCAGCTAGCTTGCCTTCTGGGATAAAGGAAAAGCAGAGACGCAAGTGAAAGTGCTCTTATGCAATGAGCCATATCTCCAGAATAATTAAGCCACCACTTGTATCTGCAAGGCTGACTTAATGAGCTTAACCCATGACTAACCTGCATCCTTCCACCAATTCAAAACATGTAAAATGAGCCACCAGTGTTTTAAGAAGTTGAATAAAGCATAAGAGATTAGTCTGTCCTCAGGTGCTGGAAGGGGCAGGTCCTGCAAGGACTCTGTGTGCTCCTGGGCTGGTTTGAGCTGAGGCTGTGCTGTTTGGAAACTTATGTTCTGTTGTGTGATGCACAGTCTGTGTACTTCCTTTCCTTGGTCCTGGACCTTTGCTGTGTAAGCTGTGGGGTTGTCCTGCTCTGCTCACTAGAACCTCCCTGACCAATGCTGACAATGGCAACTCCCCTGCGGCTCACAGCCCTGCAGTCATCCCACCTTACGGGCCCCAAGGAGTGGTCTCATGTTCTTTCTGCCTGCTCCCATTCTTTTTCAGATTCAATCTAGAACTCTTTTTGAGGGTGAAAACCTGCCATTGATTTTCTTCAGCTTCTTTTCTCAGTTATCTCATTTGATTGGGTTTCTGTTGGTTTGATTCGATGCCTAGGCAAGTGACTTCCATATATTGATGCTCTTAGAAAAACATCCTTTTACTCCAATCTTAATACTTTTGTTTGGATTTTATTTCATAGTTTTCTAGGAGGGCCAAACTAAAACATGTCCTAAACACCTGCTGGGTGCCATGCAATGTGCTCTGAGTGTCACTCTTATGGGTCATACACAAGACACCTGCACTAGCTTGCTTTCCCCTGGACTCCTTTCACAGGGAATCCAGATGAACTTCCAGAAGGCAGCTGATTTTCAGTTTTATGGGGTTTGCTGCTGTGTTTGTTACCATGTGAGTGAAGAGCTATCATCCCTTAAATTTTGGAAAGAAAGAATTGAATGTTAGTTCTAGCCTGAATGGGTCTGAATAGTAGTTAATTCAGCAGGGACTGAATGTTAGGCTAGAGAATGTAGTAATAAAGAGAATATAAGGAACTGATGGAAGAGAAAGGATATTCCACAGTTCCTGGAAAGCTGATTTTACATTTAACCAAAGTACAGTACCATTTTATCATGCTGACAGGAGGAAGAGCTGGAAGAAATGTTCTCTGGCTGGCAGAGTTGTCCACTAAGGCTGCGTTTTTAAATCCCTGCTTATTGTGCAGAAAGCAAATAAGCCTTTGTTGTGTTTCAGCTTCCCCGAGTCAGCTTGGAGGGAAAATGCTAACCTTTCTCTGGGTCAAAGTTGTGAAACAAAGTAAAAAACAACAAACATAACGTTTTAGAATCTATATAGCATGACTCCCCTCTCCCTCCTTTTTGCCCTTTCCCATTTCAAAATGTCACAATTACTAAAGGTTATATTTTTGGAAGGAACATGTGCTAGCCTCTGTGAGGAAACAGACTATTTTGGGGGTCTGTGGTTGCCATGAGGCCTATGTGTCCTTGGTTTCTATATTCATACACAGACCAGTGGGAAAATGATTTAAATGTGTTGGCTATAAACTAGCATCATGTCATGGATCTGGATATATATGTGCATGATTATAAAAATCAGGATGCCTGGCCTGATTTGGAGTTTGGAAGGAGTTTCTGCTACTGCAGTACACAGATACTGGAGTATCCTTTGAATGCTGAGGTGTGTCTGAGGCCAAGGGACAGAATATAGGAACATAGGAAAATTTAAGCCATGCAGTCATTATTCAGGGGCCACTAGTTTTACTCACTAAAAAGCTGGGTTCCTAGCTGCATTGGAGACTATAGCACATCCATACATGTAGCATAGTTTCTCATTCAGTGACTTTCCCACACAGCCCAGCTCAGGGCTGCTGGTCTTACTTCTAAGTGCATTTAAAGTGGGGAGATTGACAAAGATGCAGGTTCTTGATCTTGTGACCAGAAATTCTGACTCCTTTGGTCTGAAATGAAGCTTCATCCGCCTTTGTAACTAGCTCTCCCCATTGCCATGGTCCATACTTTGAGAAATTTTGTCCAGCCTATTACCACTCAGTTACGTGTTTTGAGCTATCTTTTATTACTAAGTGAAAATTGGGTGAGATTGTTGAAGAGAGACAATTGTCACAGGTGTTTCCTGTGTTCTTAATCTGAAACTTGTGGACCTCATGGTCACACCCTGCCCTACAAGTTTTACCCTTTTATTCAGGATGTCAAATGGCATTACTTATTAATATTTCAAAGGTCTACCCCTGAGTAAGAAGGGTGAATTTTCTTTTTTAAGTGGAAGAAACCAAACTTCAACTCCTATAGCTCTCTCTGTCCGAATCTTGTAGTAGACTGCTGTTATAAGTAGTGCTCTAGGTCCTTCTAATGGGGGAACCTCAACTGCCCTTGTCAGGAAAGAAGCACCCTGGAACCTTCAAGCCTGAGAGGCTGGTATTTTGGTTCTCTCAACATGTGAATTATACTAGTGACCCCTATCTTCTCAGGGACAAGTGGGGAAGCCATTCTCCTCTTGAAGCAGGTCTCCAGAGAACTATGAACAGATAATGAAGCTACAGGATTTTAGGACGTGCATTTGTCAATTCCCAGTTATTATCCAGGCATGTATGTGTGTGTGTGTGTGTGTGTGTGTGTGTGTGTGTAAGTAATGGGACTCCTAGAACCACTGGCGAATCATCAGACCTCACATTCATCAATATTTATACTCTCTTCTGTTAAACTTCTTTTAACAGAATAGCTTAAAAAGGACCCACATCTGACATTTTGAATTTCGCCTCCTGTCTCTTTTCCTTATGCCCCACTTGGCTTTCTTCAGAGGTTGCAAGGGAGTGGTAAAAGAATTAAGTGAGCAGCAGCAGGAGGATGAAGCAAAGTTCTACCAGACTGTAAATTGGTCTGATCTATTCCCTGCCATCACCTGACCTCCCCCAACCATGACTGGAATACTGACCCCGGGACCCCCACCTCCACCACCTTGGGGGTCTAGAAGAATGTGTTGAGAGTGATACCTGCAAAGCAGCCGCTTCACGTGTCTGACTGCCCACTGCATCATCTCAACTGCCTCTGGAAAGGATTCTGGCAGCTCCTGGCCAAACTAGTTCTGTTGCTTTGCATAGGCTGAGCAAAAAGAAGGGAGATGTGTTACTGGGCACAGTGAGCTCCAGACATGCCAGACACTCAGGGACTGTTCTGTAACACAGAACTCAGCCAAACGTAGGACAGAATAAGGGTGGTGGGCTTTTTGGGCACTGGAAAGACTACCAGGCCTTTGCTTGTTCACCTCTCACCTCATACCATGGCTATTTTATTTGCTGCCGATCCTTGCCAGTGTTAATCAGGCCTGAGCCTGCCAGTCTCCAGCTGCCAAATTATGGCTCCCAGTGGTCACTGGCAATTGGACCTATCTGATCTTTCTTATGCTAGGTCTACTACTTATTATTGAATCCAAGACCAAGGGTCTTGAACAAGAGGAGAGAGGACTTCTGAATTAGCCTGGGCTCTCTTGCTCTTAAATACTGACCAGATCATGAGTGAGGGAAGAGGGCAATGTGGAGATGACCACCCTAAAGGCCAAGTGGCTCTCTGACAGCCAGGTGCACAGCTAGTGCTTTTGATACTGAGCCAGTCTCCAGCCAATAGCCTGTCAAAAGCCAGCTTGAAGGCAGGCTTTTCTGAGGTTGAGAGTTCTAAGTGACTCAATGCCCACAGAAGGAGAGAGTCTCCGGCCCCAAACCACTCCAGTTTGGCTTTGGAGGACCAAAAAGGAGATGATTGCTTTTATGCTCCTGGGAGCCTGGATGGATCTCAGCTGATTGATTACCAAGCAATCTACATTATGGACATAATTAGAGCTGCTCCAGGCCAGAGCCACTTCCATTTTTACTTCCCTCTCTCCCTTCCCTATGGACAGCAAGGGGAAGACATATCTCGGGTTGCAAAGTGGGAGGTAAAGGGCTAGCATGGCTATGTTATAGCTTCTTGGTCTCTCTGGGACCAGGAGACCTTCTGGCACCTACAATATTTCTAGCACCAGGTGCTTGGTGATTTGGATCACCCCTGAACCCTATCTGAGCATGAACGGCCGGGTGGTATGGGGGAAAGATCTCTGGGAAGGGAGTTAGACTACTTTTTCCAGCTCCGCAACTAACTTGTTGAGTCAAATCAGTTTGGATTTAACAAAGCTGATTTCTTTCCTGCAGGAATTCCAAAAGCCTTTGACGTATATTATATACAATGCATCTCCAAAAAAGAAATACAAACTGATTCCTAAACATATTTGACCATGGGGCCATTTTGAAACTGAGTAACTTACCAACATCTTGCTGTACAGAGTTTGTGAAATGCCACACTAGAAGTGACTATCATTGCATTTTGGATCCTATGGCATTGATCTGTTGATTCTCTCTGGTTCCCAGTAGAGCTGTAAAAAGGAAATGGCATCCCTAGTGGGAGGCCAGAGAGACCAAACAGTGGTGTAACAGAATGGGTACAGGAGCCCTAACCTAACCCTTTTTCTTGGGAAGTCCAGGGCCTCCTTCTCCTCTATGAACTAGTCGTTATTCCTACAAGAACCTGTCATCTGCTCTTGGCTGTCCAAATAAGAATAATGCTCTGGGTATGAGTGGCATTACAAGGGCCCCTCTGTTTCTTTTGTGTTCTGAAAGACCCCACTTGTCACACAGGGTCTGGTTTCTTTTTTGGCCTCAGGACCCCACTAGTGGCTGGATGTGATGGGGGCCTTTGCCTACCTGGTCTAAGCGCAGGTCTTGAGCGTGGATGGAACTAGCATGGGCAGGTGGTGAGTTCCCCTGGCTGGGATTTTCTCTTTTTGTTTGCAAAACACTGTTAAAAGATTATTGCCTCCTATATTGCTGAGGTTCGACTACAGTGTCTGCATTTGATGGAGGTGGGGCAAGGCCTAGAGGAGGCCTTTGCCCAAAGGTGAGCAAAATGCTAATAAGAAATGTGAAAACTAGCCACTCGCAGACATCTCACTTGGTTATCTGGCAGGGAAGCAGGCATGTGGGTAGGCAGAGGGATGTGATACCCATCTCTCAGGCCTGTTTTGAGGAACCTGGAGGCTCTCAAAGGCCCACCTCTCAGTCAGACAATGCTGGAATGTCACGGTAAAGGAAAATGGGAAAACATAGATAATCAGATCCTGGGTCAAAGGCATTTAGAAAGTATGTTCTCAGGCCCTCCATTCTGTTCCCATCAGGAACCAAGGCTGAGAAGGAAGATGAGGCAGGAGGGGGACGAGTGTAGCAGAGCACTCTTCCCGTCCCAGCCTGGATGGCGTTAGTCAGAGAACAGGCTGGCAAAAGACTTCCTCAGGTTGCGGATGGTTTCGGCCTTGGCCTCATCTTCACTTGGGTTCCCACGCTGGGAGGTGTCGGATGTGCTGAGGCTGTTAGTCAGGGACTGAGATTTGCTGAAACAGAAAGTCAGGGGGGTTGGGGAAGACAAGGTGAAGACTATCAAAGAAATGGGTCTTGGGGGCTTGCCTGTAAGCCAGATGGGCAACCCCATCACCATAAGAACATTAAGACTGGAAACCAGGCATTTCAATGCTTACACAATGTTAGGTACATCACACACACAGTTTAATCTGCAAGGTGGTTGTTTTCCTCATTTCTTAGGTTCAGAAATTGGGGTTCACAGAGTTAAGTAACTTGCTCAGGTCCTCACAGCAAGTAATGGGGGAGCACCCAGAGCTCACATTCTTTCCATTATACCAGGCTGTTTAGGCAGCAGGCATTGTTGGAGAGTAGCTTGGCTGCTCTCCTGCCTATGGATACAAACCCACTTTGTAAACTGCAATGTGCTGTATCAGCATCAGGTTATAGTTATTTCCAGCATTTGTTTAGGTATCAGGAGGCCTGTATTCTAGAACCTTCTCTGCTCGTTGATGTCTGTGGCCTTGGGCAAGGAACTTACCTTCTCAGGGCTTCCTTTACCTCACCTGTAGAGTGCAGGGTATGTCCTGCTGACCCTCAGGCTTCTTCCAGCTCTGACATTCAGGGCTTCAATTCCCACCTCTTCTCCAGCACCTTTATGGCCAATCTGCCCCCTACCCCCTTTTGGAATTCTTTTAGTGCCAACTTTTTGAATGGCAGGTGCCATTCTGAGTGCTTCCCAAATGGTGGCCTGTAGCAACTGCTTGCTGAACACTTCCCCTGTGCTAGGGGACAGGGGTATAAAGATGAATATGCTTCAGGCCCTGCCTCAGGAGGCTCACAGTCATAGGAGGGGAGGCAACAGACATAGGAAGAGATGATGTAAATATGTCAAAAGTTCAAGAGGTCTGCATGGGATGCTGTCGTCACATTAAAAACTGCGGAATTTAAAGCAGGGACTGTCTTTTATTCCTTGCTTATTGCCCCTCAGAGAGTCTTATCTAGAACAAGGCACAGAGTAGGTATTCGGTAAATACCTGCTGACTTGAATTGAACCAAATTCTTTAAAGCAATAAGTCAGGAAATTTACATGTTTTTAGCTAGAATACTGTAAGGTCAATGACCAAACCTGGTTGAAGGCCCAGAGCCCTTGTCTGTCCTGTGATTAGCTGGGCTGATCTCCTTAAGTGGTGACAGGCTGTACGCAGAGAAGTCTGTAGTGCCAGCAGCATTCTAAGCACCAACTGTGCATAAATTCGTTGCAATCCCTATAATAACCCTGTGAGGCTGTTGTCCCCATTCTGTATGTGAGGAAATTGAAGCACAGCAACGTTAGGCAACTTAGCTGAGATCGTGTCGTTTTCAAGACCCAGGCATTCTGACTCTAGAGTCTGTGTGTCAGCTCCTATTTCATATTACCAGGAGGGCCATTTGCTAGCATTTGTCAAACTAAAAATACACTTATCCTTTGATCTAACAATACAATGGCAGGTTATTTTCTCTAGAGTGAGTCTTGCAACTATGAAAGTATATGTTCAGATTTATTAATTGCAGCATTATTTGTAAGATCAATCCAAGTTTCTATTTGTGGTGGATTAGTTGATAAATTATAGTACAACTGTACAGTGGAATACTATATAGCCATGAAAAATAAAATTCCAAAGAACTGGGTGCCCCAGGATTTATTATTAAACATGAAAAGCAGGGAGCAGAATTGTGTGGATAGTGAATACTCCTGTGTGTGTAAGAAAATGAGGGAGAGGATTCGAACACTTTTAAAATTATTCATGCAAATATTTTTATTTGCATAAATAATTAGCCAAACAAGCAAAATATTTATGCAAATATTTTCATTTGCATAAGGAAGCACTGAAAGGACATATAGGAACCAACAAAAGTCATTTCTGGGGACAAGATGCAGTGAAACATTGGATGAGAATGGGGCGGGAATGAGGCTTTTCAACATAAATCTTTGATATCTTTATTTATTTATTTATTTTTTGAGACAGAGTCTCACTCTGTTGCCCAGGCTGGAGTGCACTGGCGCAATCTCAGCTCACTGCAACCTCTGCCTCCCAGGTTCAAGCTATTCTGCCTTAGCCTCTTAAGTCGCTAGGACTACATGTGTGCACCAACACACCCATATAATTTTTGTATTTTTTAGTAGAGATGGGGTTTCACCATGTTGGCCAGGCTGGTCTCAAACTCCTGTCCTCAGGTGATCCACCCACCCTGGCCTCCCAAAATGTTGGGATTATAGGCGAGAGCCACCATACCTGGCCTGATATTTTTTTAGATCTTTGAACCATGTGAAGATATTACCTAATCAAAAAAATTGTTGTTAGCATGATCCCTAGACTGGATGTCCTGGGTTCAATCCCAGCTCTTTTAGTTATTAACTGGAAACTTTGGCAAGTTATTTAATCTTTCTTTTCTTACTCATCTGTACAATGGGGATAAGAAATAGTTATTAACTTCTAAGCTTGTGAGAACTTAAAAAAAATCAAGTAGGTAAAGTGCTTGGCACATAGTAAGTAGATAACAGCTGTTAGCTGTGAACTGTGATGATCAACATTTGGCCTTGAAGGAAGGTAGAGCTTTCCAAAGAACAGTTACTTGGGACCTCTCTTTAGGACCTCAAAACAAGAGATGGGCCTGAGAGGAAACAGGATGTATGTGTGTATTGTGATGGATGGCTTACAAAAATGACTGCAATGATTCCTCTTGTCCCTGTAGCCTGCCCTTTTGAGATGTGACTTCACGACTCCTCCCACCAAGTTTATTTCCTACTTCTTGAATGTGGGTTTGGCCCTGTGACTTGCTTTGACTAAAAGCATGTGATAGAATAACACTTCATAACTCCCAAGGCTGGGCCTCAAGAGATCTTGCAACTTGTACTCTCTCCCTTTTTAAAAGCAGGTCTACCATGTGAGAAAGCTCGGCTTAGCCTTGGGGAGGATGAGACCCCATGGAGAGAGAGGGGCCTGGCTGACAGCTAGCACCAACAACCAAAAGTGTATGTGGGGCCTTCTTGGACCATCCAGCCTCAGTGAAGCTGCTGGATGACTGCAGTTGTATGAGTGATCCCAGGAAAGTAGGGTTGCCAGGATAAGTGTATAAAAATGTGCAGATCAATTTGCATTTCAGATGAAAAGCTAAGACCTTTTTTTTAGTGTAAATATATTCCATGCAATGTTTGGGGCATACTTATACTCACAATTATCTGTTTTTTTTTTTAATCTGAAATATAAATCTAACTGGGTATCCTGTAATTCTATAGGAGACACCAGCAGAAGATCCTCCCAGCTAAGCTAAACTCAGGATAAGCAGCTGAACCAAAACACTATGAACAAAGAAAATGGTTATTTTCTTCAGCCACTAAGTTTTGGGGTGGTTTGTTATGCAGCAAAAGGTAACTGATCTGTGTTACACAGAGGGTCACGGTGGTGCCTAATCTATACTCTCACCTTGCTGGGCCTCCCCCCAAAATTCCATCCTCTAGTTCTCTTTTTACCTATTTAAATTCTAGGCAAGGCCTCATTGGGTCCTCCTTTGTCTCCAACACACTAACCCTGAATCAGTCAAGCTCTGCCTACACCCCAGCGCTATCCTATACCTTTTCCAATTCCCAAAGGACTTACTTGAGATGTGGATGGGGTGGTGCTGGCTTCTTGGACTCTTCACCCTGCTGGGAGCTGCTGCGGCCCTGCACAGGGGGCCGGGGCTGTGAGGTGAGGGTGGCACCTGGCTTGGAGGCCTGGTTTGGGGAGCTGCCACTGGATGCCCGGGATAGTTGCGGAGAGCCTGGTGACCTTTGCTGTTGTGGAGATCCCGACTGGGGGCTTAGGGGCTGCTGGCCTTGTGGGGAGAGCCTCTGTTGGGAGGGGCTTCCAGATCTCTGGGGCTGAGGAGACTGAGCTTGGCGAGGGCCTCCTAAAGGGCCAGAAAATAAAAGGTTCAGTTCAATTTTTTTCTTAGGATAAATATGGCTGTACACAAATAATGTTGCTTCAAGGATGTTGATTGCAGTGTTTCTTATAACAGTGAAAAATTGAAAACCATATAAATGCCTAACCATAAGGAAGTAATTAGGAACATTAAGATACATCTGTATAACGGAATATGCTGTGGTTATCACATAGGATGTGGCTGAGTAATATTAAATGACATAGAATACTCTTGATAACATATGCTAAATATTATACTGCTGAACAAAATAGCTTAGAATACAGTACATATGGTTTTATTTTGGCACATATGTATAAACATATATAAAAAAGAAAGTGGAAGATTGTACTCTAAACTAGTGTGTCTCAGACTTTAATGTGTATATGAATCACTGGGCATCTGGTCAAAATAAAGATTCTGTTAGCGTGGGTCTTGGGCTGTGTTACGAACCGAATTGTGTTCGCCCTGTCCCAATTCATATGTTGAAACCTTAATTAACCCTCACCCTCAATGCAATTCTCTTTGGAGATAGGATCTTTAAAGAGGTAATTGAAGTTAAATGAGGTGACAGGGTGGGACCCTAATCTGATAGGTTTGGTGTCCTTATTAAGAGGAGATAGAAACATCAAGAGTGTCACATACCCGGGCACAGAGAAAAGGACATGCAAGGATACACAAAGAAGGCTGCCATCTGCAAGTCAAGGAGAGAAGCTGTGCCCAAAACCAACCCTGCCAGCTCCTTGATCTTGAACCTGCCACCTCCAGAGAACTGTGAAAAAATGTCTGTTGTTTAAGGCCCCCCAGTCTATGGCATTTTGCTATTAAGGCAGTCTGACAAGACTACCATAGGCAGGGTCTGCGATTCTAGATTTCTAATGGATTCCCAGCTTATCCTACTTTGAGTAATGAGGCACTAATAATAATTACAAAAGTGGTGAGATTATGAAGGATTTTAATTCTCTTTTTTTCTCACTGATATCTTCCACACTGAAGATGTCTTTCTTTGGAAACAATGAAAAGAATTAACTCTGACTTTTTGGGTTGCTCTCTAAACTTTTCCAAGAACTTTCAAAAGCAGCATGTCATCTGATCTAGAGAGGCCAGTGCGGAAGATACCATTCTTCTCATCACATATTGGTGGAGACTGAGTCTTATAAGGTTTTCCAACTGGAAGAGTAGCCGCAGAAAGCTCAAAGAGAATCTTGGTTTCTCCCTGTCACCACACAGGGCACACAGGCTTTCTCATGCAAGCCAAGGGGCATCTAAGCTTGGGGATGTTGTAGCCACTCAGAAATGACTTTGAGTAGAATTTCAAGGCCCAAAACCATCAAGGTACACTCTCCTCACCCTGAAATTCTGGGGGTCAGCACTGTTGATGGTGAATTGCATTTTGCCAAAGCTGACTGGCTGCCCGCTGGTCTCTTCTCCCTAGGACCTGCTGCAGCTGGGAGAGTGGGCTTGTGCTGGGGTTATTCCTGCCACATTTTTTTTTTTTTGAGAGCACTTTAGGCAGGTTAGGAGACCAAGAATTAAATGGTGCTGGAACCCATTTCTGTGACCCTTTAACAACGGGGCTCCTACTGAGCATCTGTTATGTCGCTAGCTTTGGACTGGGCATCCTCACAACAGCTCTGTGGGTTAGGCATGATTCTCATCCCCTACCCCCGGCCATGGGAGTGCTGCCTCTGGAACTCTACAGAGAGCCATGTGTAATTATAAATTTTCTAGTGGGCACACTTTAAAAAGTAAAAAGAAATAGTTAAGCATAATTTTAATAGTGTGTGTGTGTGTATGTATGTATGTATATGTGTAATTTTTTTTAAAGGGATGGGGTCTCTGTCACCCAGGCTGGAGTGCAGTGGCATGGTCACACTGCGCCTTGGACCCCTGGGCTGAAGCCATCCTCCTGCCTCAGTCTCCTGAGTAGCTGGGACTACAGGCCCACCACAACTTTTCATTTTTTTTGTAGATTTGGGATGTCGTTATGTTGCCCAGGCTGATCCTGAACTCCTGGTGTCAAGCACTTCTCCCACCTTGGCCTCCCAAAGTGCTGGGATTACAGGTGTGAGACACTGTGCTTGGCCCCCATTTTTACAAAGGAACTGAGACCCAGCTATATTGTGACTTGCTTAAGATGTCACTACGAATAAGGAGACAAGTCCAGATTCAAACCTAGATCTCTTTGACTCAAAAGCCCTGTTTTGTTTCTTTTTCCTTTTTAAAAACTATACCACACAGGTATGCCCTGAGTCCTCATAACATCTGTATTGCTAATTAAGAAAAGGTGGCTTCCTTCAGCAGAAGCAGCTCAGAGCCAGATGCCCAGGGAGCAAAGACTAGATTTCAGCCAGCCACCCTATCACATGTCATGTCAGCTGAGCACATTTTCAGAGGACATGCCATCTGTATAACCTCCATGACCTGTGGAGTCTTGTGGCCCTGACTCCCCACTGGCACAAGGAGCCTCAGGTCCTAACTCAAAGCCTTACCATTAACTCACTGTGTGACCATGGGTAAGTCACTCCCCTTCTCTGGGCTTCTGGGCCCTCGTTTGTAAAATGAGGTCATTGGACTGTACATCAAACATCCTTCCCAATCTGAACATTTTTGTAAGCTTGTGGAACAAGAAATTGGATTACATTGCAGCAGCAGTTTAGCAGCTGATTGTGTTACACAGCTTGCATTCATTAGCTCTTTCATGACTGTGTAATCCCAGTAGATGGGTGGTCATATTTATTTCAAACTCAAACACCTCTAGGGCCAGCCAGGTATGTAAATAAATAAAGCAGGCAAATATAAGATGAGTAATGTGGCTTCCAAAAATTTTCCCACTTGAGATAAAAACATAGTCCAGAGAACTATTTCTTTAAAGAGGTGCAAGCACAAAGAACATAGCAATTGCTGCTCCCTGTTACTATGGGAGTGAGGAGTAGGGCTGGAGGCAAATGCAGGAGCCCCTAGGAGCCCTTGCTCTGCCCAAGGGAGCTGCTGTTAGTAACGCCAGGGACAGCTGCTGTACAGAAACACAGGCTCATTGTTTCTAGAGCTTCTGTGCTGTCAAGAGATGCTGGAAGTCTAGATGTTTAAGTAACACCTCCTGATTTATTTTATTTTATTTCTTGGAGACAGAGTTTTACACTGTTGCCTGGGCTAGAGTGCAGTGGCATGATCTCGGCTCACTGCAACCTCCGCCTCCAAGGTTCAGGAGATTCTCCTGCCTCAGCCTCCTGAGTAGCTGAGATTACAGGTGTGTGCCACCACGCCCAGCTACATTTTAGTAGAAACAGCGTTTCACCATGGTGGCCAGGCTGGTCTCGAATTCCTGACCTCGTGATTCGCCTGCCTCGGCCTCCCAAAGTGCTGGGATTACAGGCGTGAGCCCCTGCGCCCAGCCCACCTCCTGATTTTTAAATGTTGGTTACTTTTGGGTTTTCTAAACCTACTGCAGTTCAAAGAAAACATTTGTTTTCTACTTTTATCTTCAGTTTTCCTTGACTCACTCCCCTTCCCAGGTTGATATCTTAGAAAATCTGGATACCCATTCATTAATTCATTAACTCTTTGTTGAGTTCCTACAATACACCTGGGATTTATCAAGAGACACAGTAGTTATTGGGTTCAGAGTCCAAAGTGCTAACTATTACACCATGGAACCCCCGCCCTAGTTATTTCTTGCAGCTTCTTGGCAAAGCAAACAATTTAGTATTTTTTATTTGAGCACATACAAAAAATAACATATATATAGAAAGTATTTGCCTAAGCACAGAAATAGTGCCAATAATGAAGCTTATTAAAAGAAAATTTCACTTTTACCAACTTGAAATGAACAGCAAGTTCAAATAATAATGTGATCTTGTTAATTGGGGAATTCAATGAAAGTGTTGTTTTTTAATTAGCCTTGTTATTTTTAATCTGAGTGTTAATTCACTGGGATTTTTCTTTAATTACCTTAATTGGTTTTAAATTGATTGTTTTTCAACTCACTAAAAGTGTGTTTAGCCTCATTTCCCTTAAAATAATATCTCTTTATCAAGCATGTTTTACTGTGGGCCAGAGAGGAAATTAGAGTACAGTAGCTCTCTGTTTTAAAAGGGCTCTGTTCAAATGTGCTTTTAAAAAGTAGGTCCCAGGGCAGAGGAGAGAGGAGAAAGGAGAGAGAGAGGGGCAGAGGCACAGCCAGGAGCCTGGTAGAGTGAGGAAAATGTAGTTTTGGAACACTTATTACTATAGAATTGTTGCTGGGCATGGGGGCACTGCATTACTTATAAGGATTGACGAGCTGATGGGTGCAGCAAATCACCATTGCACATGTATACCTATGTAACAAACCTGCACGTTCTGCACATGTATCCCAGGACTTGAAGTATAATAATAATAATAATAATAATAAACCATGAAAAGCAATATGTATCAGACACATGTTATTAATAGTAAGCATGATGTCATAGCTATTAATAGTAAATTATTAGTAGTAAGAAGTAACACCTTCTAAGTACTACCTCTGTGTCTGATACCTTGCTAATTGCTTTACCTGCACTTATCTCATGGACAAAGACCCCATCCTTAAACATGGCAGCTGTTATTTCCTCCTTTACACTGAAGAAACTGAGGCCCAGAGAAGTAATGTGATTGCTTCTTTGTAAAGAAGAAACTTTACACTCTCACTGTAAAGGTAGTGAGACATGGAACTGGATTCAAACACACTAGATCTGCCTGAGGGAGAATACTGATGTGCATTTACACAGGCATACTTTGTTGTATTTCAATTTGCAGATGCCATGTTTTTTCAGAATTGGAGGGCTGTGGCAACCCTGCATTGACCAAGTTTGTCAGTGCTGTTCTCCCAGCAACGTGTGCTCACTTCGTGTCTCTGCATCACATTTGGCAACTGTCACAAATTTCACACTTTTAAATTTTTATTATATCTGTTATGGTAAACTATAATCAGTGATCTTTGATACTATTGTGTTAATAATTGTTTTGGGGTGCCATGAACCACACCCATATATGAGAGTGAACTGGCCAGGCGCGGTGGTTCACGCCTGTAATTTCAGCACTTTGGGAGGCCGAGGCAGGCAGATCATGAGGTCAGGAGATCCAGACCATCCTGGCTAACACAGTGAAACCCCGTCTCTACTAAAAATACAAAAAACTATCTGGGTGTGGTGACACACGCCTGTAGTCCCAGCTGAGGCAGGAGAATCACTTGAACCCAGGAGGCAGAGGTTGCAGTGAGCTGAGATCACGCCACTGCACTTCAGCCTAGGGGACAGAACAAGACTCCGCCTCAAAAAAAAAAGAGGCAGTGAACTTACTTGATAAATGTGTGTGGTCTGGCAGCTCCATTTACCAGCCATTTAGCCATTTCCCTGTCCCTCTTCCTCTCCTTGGGCCTCCCTTTCCTCTAGACACAATATTCAAATTGGACCAATTAATAACCCAACAATGGCCTCTAAATATTCAAGTGAAAGGAAGAGTCACATATCTCTTACTTTTAAAGAAAAAAATAGAAATGATTAAGATTAGTGAGGAGGACATGTAGAAAGCCAAGACAAACTGTAAACTAGGCCTCTTGCACCAAAAAGTTAGCTAAGTTGTCAATGTGAACGAAAAATTCTCGAAGGAAATTAAAAGTGCTACTCCAGTGAACACACAAATGATAAGAAATCAAAACAGCCTCATTGCTGATATGGAAAAAGTTTGAGTGGTCTGGATAGAAGATCAAACCAGACACAACTTTGCCTTAAGCCAAAGCCTAATCCAGAGCAAGGCCCTAACTACTTTCAATTCTATGAAGGCTGAGAGGTGAGAAAGCCATGAAGAAAAGTTGGAAGCTAGCAGATGTTGGTTCCTGAGGTCTAAGGAAAGCTGTCTCCATAAAACTGCAAGATGAAGCTGCAAGTGCTGATGAAGAAGCTGCAGCAAGTTATCAGGAAAGTCTAGTTTAGATAGTTGACAAAGGTGGCTGTGCTAAACAACAGATTTTCAGTATAGATGGAACAGTCTTCTATTGGAAGAAGATACTATTTAGGGCTTTCATAGCTAAAGAGGAGAAGTCAATGCCTGGCTTCAAAGCTTCAAAGGACAGGCTGACTCGCTTATTGGGGCTAGTGCAGCCGGTCACTTTAAGTTGAAGCCAGTGCTCACTGACCATTGTGAAAATCCTAGGGCCCTTAAGAATGATGCTAAATCTACTCTGCCTGTGTTTCGTAAATGGAACAACAAGGACTGGATAACAGCATAGCATTTACAATATGGTTTACTGAATATTTTAAGCCCACCGTTGAGACCTACTGTTCAGAAAAAAGGTTCTTTTCAAAATATTACTGTTCATTGACAATGCATCTGTCCATGCAATAATTCTGATGGAGATTTACAAGATAATTTTGTTTTCATGTCTTTTAATACAACATCTATTCTGCAGTTCATGGATGGAGTAATTTTGAATTTGAGGTGTTATTATTTTAAAAATACATTTCATAAAGCTATAGTTGCATAGACAGTGATTCCTCTGATCGATTTTGGCAAAAGAAATTGAAAACCTTCTGTAAAGGATTTACCTGTCTAGATGCCATTAAGAATATTTGGGATTCATAGCAGGGAATCAAAATATCAACATAACAGGAGTTTAGAAGTTGATTCCCATCCTTATGGATGACTTTGAGGGGTTCAAGATTTCAGTGGAGGAGGTAAGTGAAGATGTGGTGGAAACAGCAAGAGAACTAAAATTAGAAGTGAAGTCTGAAGATGTTACTGAATTACTGCAGCCTCATGATAAAACTTGGATGGGGCAAGGCACGATGGCTCTCGCCTGTAATCCCAGCACTTTGGGAGGCCAAGGCTGGTGGATCACAAGGTAAGAGATCAAGACCATCTTGGCCAACACAGTGAAATCCCATCTCTACTAAAAATACAAAAAATTAGCTGAGCGTGGTGGTACACACCTGTAATCCCAATTACTCAGGAGGCTGAGAATCACTTGAACCTGGGAGGCAGAGGTTGCAGTGAGCTGAGATGGCACCACTGCACTCCAGCCTGGGTGACAGAGCAAGACTCCATCTCAAAAAAAACCAAAAAACAAAAAACAAAACTTGACTGGATGAGGAGCTGCTTCTTATGGATAAGCAAATAAAGTGATTTATTGAGATGTAATCTATTCCTGGTGAAGATGCTATGAAGATTGTTGAAAAGACTACAAAGGATTTAGAATAGTACATAAACTTAGCTGATAAGGCAGCAGCAGGTTTGAGAAGATTGACTCCAAGTTTGAAAGAAGTTCTACTATGGGTAAAATGCTATCAAACTGCATCAAGTGCTGCAGAGAAATCTTTTGTGAAAGGATGAGTCAATTCATGCAACTGACTTCACTGTTGCCTTATTTTTAAAAAATGCCTCAGCCACCCCTTGCTTCAACAACCAGTACCCTGGTCAGTAAGCAGCTATCAGCATTGAGGCAAGACCCTCTGTCAGCAAAAGGATTACTCTTCACCTGGGGCTCGGATGATTGTTAGCAATAAGGCATTTTATAATTAAGGTATGTACTTTGTTTTTTCAGACATAATGCTATTGTACACTTAAGAGACTACAGTATAGTATAATCATAGTTTTATATGCACCAAAACATTTGTGTGACTCACTTTATTGTGATATTTACTTTATACTGGGTGGTCTTGAACTGAATCTGCAATATCTCTGAGGTATGTCTATATTCAGTTGTGTACAATTACACAGTTTTCCTTTTCTTAAAAATATCTTCTGTTTTCCAGAAAGAGAAACATACACAAGGAAGATGAATGAGACATTTTATCGAAAACCTGTGCAAGAGGAAGCCATTTGGTGGCCAAGGTGGACTTTTTTTCAAGAAGTAATGAATTGGTTGCTTTTAATAACAGTGACCAGGAAGGCCACATGATAGTAATGACTTCTTTCTGATATGTTTTTTTTTTTGAGACGGAGTTTCGCTCTTGTTACCAAGGCTGGAGTGCAATGGCGCGATCTCGGCTCACCGCAACCTCCGCCTCCTGGGTTCAGGCAATTCTCCTGCCTCAGCCTCCTGAGTAGCTGGGATTACAGGCACGCGCCACCATGCCCAGCTAATTTTTTGTTTTTTTAGTAGAGGCGGGGTTTCACCATGTTGACCAGGATGGTCTCGATCTCTTGACCTCGTGATCCACCCGCCTTGGCCTCCCAAAGTGCTGGGATTACAGGCGTGAGCCACCGCGCCCGGCATGTTTTTAAGAAGATCCTTGAAAGATTGCAGTGAAACTGCCTGCTTTGGTTTCTTCATGCACAGGTGCTCTGAAGCTCCATGTTGGTGCTACAGCGAGTGTGTCTGGGAGGTTTTGATTGCGAGAGGATACAGGGTGGATTTCTCTCAAGGCCTGCATGCAAGAATACTGGAGCAGCTGACATTTGTGGAGAAAGTTAGCCATTGCCATGATTGTTTTTCATCCTTTTATCAATAGTGTGTCCACTCTCTAATAAGTGGTGGCACTTGTGTGGTGTAGTAATGCTGGAATATAGTTGAAGAGGAATTTCGTGGCCAAGGTTTAGATGATGTTCCATTTTTCTTTCTTTCTTACTCTAGCTGGTTGACTCACAAATCTATCATCAGGCACCACTCATTGCTATGAATAAATACTTTCTAGAAGGTCTGAAAGGCCAGACTTGTAAACCTACCATTTTCTGCCTCCCTGGGCAAAGCCTCAACTTTTACCTCTCTGTAAAAAGGAAATACTTGGGAGGCCAAGGTGGGTGGATTACCTGAGGTCAGGAGTTCGAGACCAGCTTGGCCACCAATGTGAAAACCCGTCTCTACTAATAATACAAAAATTAGTCAGGTGTGGTGCTGTGCATCTGTAATCCCAGCTATTCAGGAGGCTGAGGCAGGCGAATCGCTTGAACCTGGGAGGTGGAGGTTGCAGTGAGCCAAGATCACACCACTGCACTCCAGCATGGGTGACAGAGTAAGACTCTGTCACAATAAAATCCAACAATAGATCCAAATAGGGAAAATAATGATGTTTTCACTGTACGATGGCTGGGGAAAATAAAAGTGAGGAAATAGGTGGGACATTCCCTGGCACAGTGCTTGTTGCATTGTAGGTACTTAATAAATTAACCTTCTATTTCCCTTCTCTTTCTTGACTTTTTAAAGAGGTTGACCAACCCCATAGTCTCATTCATTCTGAGGATAAAGTATTTAGATGCAGTTTCCCAGAGCCCCTGTGGGAATCACATGTGGATCTCTCAGTGCATTTCAGTACCCTTGTGGCGTACTTTCTCTGAGTGGCTCGTCCTGGGTCCTACCTTGCGGAGGTGGGCGTGGCTGAGGCTGTCCTAACTGAGGCCCCAGCTGGGCTTGCCCTGGAGATTTCACTGATTTAGTCTGTGGAGCCTAGAGTAGAAGAGAAAAGAAGCCTGTTGGTATCACCACAGCCCTTTATTTCCTGGGTGAGAAGGCAGCATTTATGAAGATCTTTTTAGTGTACAGTTCTGGAGTGGACAGTGTAGTGAAATTCTACATGTGTATACATTGGTGTAACCACTGCCCAGATCAAGACATAAGCCCTTCCCCGTGGTGAAGCCTGCGCCATGAGCCTTCCCAGCCCCATCAGTATAATAACTATGATTTTGATGTCTATTATCATAGATCACCTTCTGTGGGGAAATCTGGGGTGGGAGGTGAAGGTTTGGGTACTTGCTTTTACATAAAGCTGGGGAGCTGGCAAATTCTTTGGAGAGCAGTCTGGTCGTCCCTGCTGGGAACTGTGGAGGGGAGGGGAAGAGTGATGTGGGAGCTCATCGAGGTTGGGGAAATGGGAGACACAATGGTGTCCATTGACTGGTTCCCTGGGAGCACACAGAGGGCCTGTGTGTCCATATGGTCTCACACATGCACGCACACACATCCTGCTCAGGCCCGGCACCGAGGGCATGGAAGGGACGGCAGTCAATCATCTCTGCCCACAGATGCCCAAAGGCCACCTGAGACAAGACTGTTTTCCCCAGAATGGTGAGCAAGGGAAGGGGCCCCAAAAAGCCTCCTAAATTCCCCCACTGGGGCAAGCTGTGGAAGCTCTCCCCCACGTCTGGCCTTCCCCGTTCCTTCTCGCCATGGTAGTTTCTTCCTGGGGTATCTCCTTTGGATCCAGGGGATCCCCTTTTTCAGAGAGCCTGGCATTTCTCATGGCTACAGAGTCTCCTTCGATCCTGAGGGTCTTACCCAAGGTCTCAGGGGCGAGGGCGCTGTGCCTCCTGGCATCAGGAGTTGGCTCATTTTGGAGACAACAAGGTCGGCCATCAGCTGTTTATCCTCTTCCACGTGCTCTCCAATCAGCGGCATCGAGCTGTCCATTACCTGTGGGGAAGAAGGGAGAGCTGAGGGACCCCCATGCCAGGAGAGGCTGGTGGTTGGGCATCACATCCCAGAAGTGAGGGCTCAGGGCTCAGGACAGAAGTGACCACCAGATGGCAATGTCTTCCATGCAAACCACCTCCAGCTGGGACTGGGCCTGCAGAGACACCAGTTCCCTTCTGTTCAGTCTAAACAACCCGCTGGATGCAGTTCAATTCGGCCCACGTTTGCTGGATGACAGCCGTGCGACCAGGGCCAGGGAGCCTCTGCCGACCTTTTCTGCACTCTTCTTCGGGGAGCTGCTCTCCACCCCCTCCTTTCTCACCCTGGCCCCCTCCCAGGGTAGGGGCTGGCCGCCTCTCCTTTGGCCCCAGGTCAAGGGTTTCTGTAGAGCAGAAACAGTAAAGATGGGGGCTCGATCATGACAAAAATATGACACAGGCTGGAGTTGACCCAGGATTCAGAGGGAAGAGGGAAGAGGAAAGGCCCCGTTCTCCATGGCCCTGGCAAAACACAGGCAGGAGGGAAATGCATTCCACAGGGAGCTGGGCTGGTCCCAAAGGAAGTGAGGTGCTTCTATGGGGCGGGGTCTGAGGGATCCTATTTCCCCTTCTGCTCTTTTTACAGATAGAGCAACTGAGGCCCAGAGATGGGAGGGGACTTGCCCATGTCACACAGGCCAATGCTCCATGTGATTCTCTGGATAGGGAAGCTATGGGAGGTCTTGAAGTGATATCTGTCAGGCCTTGGTGGATCTGCAAAACAGCTGGCCTTGCCAACCACCCTCTCTGCTCCACTGTAGGAGTGGTGACCTGCATTCACCCACATCACCCCCATCAGACTCACTGTCTTATCTCCCCTGTTCCCATGCTCTGGACTCATTAGGTTTTCTCTCTCCTCCAGGTTCTTATGTATTCCCTTTGCCCACTGTTTACCTGGCCAACTCCTTTTCATCCAGCAGGGAATGGTTAACTAGGTCTTCCTCCAGGAATCCCTCTCTGACTGTGCAAGCTCTATGAGCCACCTCACACCTGTAACCTGCCAGACTCACTTGGTTTCACACTGGACAGCTTATCCACAGCACTGTCACCCCCTGCTTACTATGTCTCCACAACCAGACTGTGAGCCCCCAAGGTCAGGGATGGGCCCTGGGTCCTGCTAAACAGATGTGCCCTCAGTAGATACCTGTGTAGTGGAGGAATAAGAGGCCCTTGCAATAAGCCCTGCTCATAAGGATAAGGATACTAAGAAGCGCTGTATTTTATGGGGGACTTCCTATGTGCTATGCACTATGCTAAGCATCAGGTATGGAGGATATCTAATAAACCTCAGAATAGCTCTTTGAGGCAGGTACTATTATCCTCATTGTAACGATGAGGAAGCGGAGGGTCAAAGAAGTGGCAAGGTCAAGGACACAGCATCTGGAACCCATGTTCCTCCCACTGCATCAGGCTAATTCCCCTAATTCCCACTAACTATTGGAGCAGCACACCAGGGTAAGAACTGGGAATAGGGAACCTGGGTTCTAGGCTTGGCAGAAGCCAAGTGGTGGACTTGCTGGGTGATCTTGAGCAAGTTTCTTTTCCTTTACAGGCCTATTTTTTTTTTTTTTTCTCAACAGTGAACTGAGGGGTTTGGGCAGCTGCTAAGACCCTTCCAGCTGGGACTTGCAGGGATCTGTGAGTTTAAGCACCCACTTTGATTAGGAAACTGAAAGCCTAGCTTAAGAAAGTGAATACTAATTCTAGAAGAGTCCTGAGCTGTGTGCAGGTGGTACCTGGAACTGGGGGCTCTGGGATCCCAGTGCCCCCAACAGGGACAGTCTCTCAGTCACCACTGGCTGAGCTCTGACTGTGGAGTCTGCCCCGAAGGTACACAGGCTTCCTGCAGGCTGCGTGTCCTCTCTCCCCCGGCCCTGCCCACCCCATTTTACTCCAGTCTGTTTCCTACATTCCCTGCAGTGGAAAACAGCCACAAGGAAGCTGAGGTTCATTTTGGAATCCCGAGGGTAGACACGGCCAAAGGAAGTGGCTGTGCTGGTCTCCCCAGGGAAACATTTTCCAGTGAGCCAAGTCATTCCCCGGACAGGTCAGAGAGGACAAATTCAAGGGTCTTTCCCCATGAGTATTTCACTGTGAGGCTCTCCACAAAACATTTCACACACATTTTCTGTTCTCACCACAGAGGTGGCTGAAGAAACCAGTGTTTTGGGACCTCTTCTGCCTTTTTTCCCGCTAACTGAGGGAAAATACCTTTTCTATTTCTGGTAACAAGCTTCCCATCTCCCCTGACCCCACTCCAAACTCAAAAGCAAAGGAAAGAGCTCTGCAATGTTTCTGTGGGGGAAAAAAAATCTGAAAAGCTATCTTTCATTTTTCCTCTGGAACATTTTTGGGAGACGTTGTTTTCTTGTTTTTTGAAGTCCAAGCCCACTACTTTTACTTTTTTTTTTTTTTTAATGTGAAAGGTCTTTCATCCCCAACCCTCTGAATGGCTAAAGGCAGGAAGCCTGGGACCATGAGCACAGATTTTTTTTTTTCCTAAGAGTGAAAGCTGAGACTCGGAGAGGCAGGAGCTCAAAGGGGACAGAGAGAGTGCTGGTGCAAGGGAGGAACTGGCTTTTGGGGGTCAGGGGAGTCCAGGAGCTCCAGGAGACGGGCCCCTGCTCCTGTGTTTGCCATTGTACTGTGTTCACTGGCTTGGGGGCTGGCTCCCAGGGTAGCAGCTCAGTGAATCAATGAATGAGTGCTTGTGTGCCAAATCTGGGTTCATGTCTGGTGGTCCCCGTGAGGGGATACAAAGGAAGGAGGGTTGGGTGGGGTCTTAGGAGCTGCTGTGCTGGTGGTTCTGGCCCCATCTCTGGTCTGAAGCTCCCACGGTATCCCCAGGAAGGTGGGGACTGGCTCCTCCAGGGAGCAACTGTAAAGGTCAAGGAATCTGTTCCCAGCCCCTTCCATGGCTTCTCCGAGAAGGGGCTACTGGGAGAGTTTCAGGTGTGGCAGCTGGAGGGAAGGCCATTCTGGGCCTTGAGAAGAGAGCTATTCTCCAGAGTGGGACTGGGTCTACTAACACAGATGCAGCTCTTCCTGAAGGAGCCTCCTGGCCTCTCTGGGGAGGAGACAGAGCAGTGTTCATCCTGGACTCCCTTCTCCTACCTCCAAGGCCTGGGCATGAACACCCTTCTGGCATGGTTGGGCTCCCACCCACTGAGTCACCTGGTCCTGCTCAGCCGTGGGCCTCTGGGGAGTGAGGCAGACATGAGGGACGAGAGGACCGGCTGGCTCCTGTGGTTACCCCAGCCATGTGCTTCCCATTAGCTGCCCACACCCCGGGGAGGGGACGGCCACAGTGCTCTCCCTCACATGTCCTGGCCTTGCGTTAGCACCGCCCATGGGAGGAGAGGGCTGAGAGTGGAGCTGGGGCTGATAGTGTGGACATGGGAAGTTATAGAGGAGGGAGAGGCCAGAGGGGCCTTTTCAGGGGAAAGCAGTGGAGGTGGAGAGCCATGGGGTGTGGGGTAGGGGGCAGGGAAGAGGGGCTGGAGAGGGGATGGGAGGGTTGTGGGATCCTGAGAGATACCGGGAGGACATGGAGGAGAGGTGGGGAGTGGTGGGATTCGGGGAAGCATGGAGAGGAAGCGGTGGAGATGGGAGGCTGGAGGATTGGGAGGGTCTTGAGAGATTCCAGGACCCGCAGCCCCTCTGTAAGCCCTCTCTTACCATTCTGTTTCCCTACATCTTTCCCTCTATTCATGCCCCTGCACTACTCCATCCTTCTTCCAAATTCTCAATGCTTGGCCACTGTTTTTCACCCTCTTCCCTGCCAGCCCGCGCACCCTGTGTCTATTATGTCCATGCTGCATCCCCAGAGCCACACCCATGCCTAGCCCATGGGAGCCCCCTAAAGCCATGTTTTTTGAATGAACAAATGATAGACTCTTTGTATGGCGACCAAGAATGGGTGTCCATTTTACATGCTTGGACACTGAGGAAATGGAAGGGGCCTCATGGGACAGAATCTTGCTGACACTTGGCCAGATGCTCTTTCCCTTCCCTTAGGCCTGGGGGTTGGGGAAGTTGTTAAACCTCATGACCAGAGGTCTCCCAGCTCAGTTTTGAGTCATGGCATGAAGGCTTTTGATGCCTCTAAGGGTGGGAAGGAGCCTCCAGAAGCAGCTCACTCAGACCTGGGCTGCATGTGCCCTGGAGCCAGGACACAGCTGATGGTGCCAAAGACCATGCAGGGATTCCCTCCTGTTGGCACGCCTGCCAGGCTGGACCAGCCAGGAGGACTGCCTGCTTCATCCCTCACCTCTATGATGTAATCTCTGCCATCCTTGCTGTGGACAGCCTTGACAGCACAGATATCCAGGCCGCCAAACATCTCCGAGCAGCTGTCCACCCACAGCCTGTACCTGCAGGGACAGATGGACAGACAGTGAAGTGGCTGGGAAAGTGGAGAAGCGGGGTAGAGGGAGAGAAGTGGATTCACACAGAAAAACAGGGAGGGAGGGACAGTGACACACATCCAGACAGAGATGGAGAGAGGCAGAGAAGCAGCAAGAGAGACAGGAAGACGGAGAGAGAGTTGGAGTCCAAGACTCAGAGACAGAGAGGGAGGGAGAGAGGCAGGGACACAGACGACAGTGAGAGAGAGACCCAGAGAAAGAACAAGAAAGAGCCAAGAAGGAGGGGAGAGAGGCAGGGTGAGGGAGAGAAGGAACCAGAGTTGGGAGAGATCTCCCCCAACCCCAGGACTTGCTGGATCTACAGTAATGGGGAGCTTGCCCTGCCCCCATCCAGAGCCATCCCAGACACCCAGACACCCGTGTCCCTTTTCCCTTGGGAAAGCTGCTCTAAGGGCTCCAGAGATCCCTCCCAGGCTGCCATTCCAGTCCCAGCCCTGGCTGGACCAGAGGCTGCGGGGAACAAAGGGTGCATTTTCCCCTGGCCCGGGGCGGGTAGGCTGGGGAGCCTGGCAGGCTGCTTCTGCCTGGCCCTCTAGACCCACTGCTTTTGTTCCCTTTCCAGCCACTTGATGTCTGCAAGGTCAGTTTGCTTTGCTGGGGACAGATATCAGCACTGGACTTTGACCCTGCAACAAGGGGGTGGTTGTATCTGAAGAAACCATCCCAGCTTGCACTTAACTTCCCTTGTGGGCTGGATTTGGGAGTCACAGCAGACTCTGTGTCAATGTTCTTGCTTCTCTACCCACTCTCCAGGGTCACACAGGGCATGCCTACTCTCACATTGTTTTGTGTTTCTGAGCCATCAGTGCTGGGATGAGGAGGAATTGTGGCTGGAATGCTCTCAGAATGGATTCTCCTCTTATCCACCAAGGCCTACCGAGGCCCAGCTCACAGAGCAAGGCAGTAAGAACACCAGGATTACCTCGATCTCCTTGGCTCCCAGTCCAGTTTTCTCATTCAGCTGTAGCAAGGAGCATGTGAGATCATCAAAGTGAAAGGAAGGATGGAAACTCACACCCATGGAGCTCCTGCTATGTTCCAGGCATTCTGGGCCCAGAGACTGACTCCTCATTCCCTCAAATCCCAGCACAACTTTATGAGGAAGGTTTTAACCCATCTTACTGATAAAGGAGTAGGCTCAGAGAAATGAGTAAGTGACTGTGAAGCTTCCAAACCCAGATACTGTTTGATTCCAGATTCCCGGCAAGGCACCCTTCCTCTCATTCTGCAGGTGCCCCAGCACATCCATTCTCACTCAGCATGGGAGGCCAGGGACCTAAATTCTTGCTATTCATTCCTTAATAATTTTGGAGAAGCCTCTCCCTCTTATCATAAAATGGGAAAGCCTAGATCTTATTCTGATTGTACATCAGAATCACCAGGAGAGTTAAATGCACAAACAAATAGGCAGACTTGGGGCTCCACCCTGTGTTAGAGTAATTTCTATAATTCTTTAAAGCATTCCATGTGATTCTGATATATGGCCATGTTTGGGGACAACCTTGGGTCCTCGGAGCTGGTAGAGTCCTCTGGAATCTCTGATCAGAGTCCTCATTTTTGGCACCAGTGGCTTACTTGTGGGTGCCACATACTTAGGGTGAGCTGTGCCTTGAGACACACTCATAAATCAGGTTTCTTCTCAATGGAATGTGGAAGTCTGAGCCGAGGTCCAGAGGCAACTGTTTCCAGAGGATGTTTTCAAATGACAAACCTCGGGGTCTCCTGCTGGCTGCAGCCCATGGGGCACAGGAACCCAAGGTCTAAGAAGGGGCTGCAGGCATATGGCAGTGTGAGAGAGCTTGGAGAATGGGGGGCCTCTGCTCCCCTCCTGCCAAGTGGGATTAGCACTGACCAAGCGACATCATTGGTTTTGCCCAGGAGTCAGGCCACCTAGCAAGCAGTTGGAGGGTGGGGTCAGGGTCTGCGTATGAGTCCCTGCATGGATTTCACCCCTGTGGGGGTAGGACTGGGGATTTCTCCATCCCAGACTCTAGAGTACTTCCTGTGACTGCAAAGAGGAAAGTGGATTCCAGGCCTGAGCAGGCCCATTCCCATGGGAGGTTCCTCCAGGGATGGCCCATGCACCAGAGGACTGAGCAGAGCCAGGGATAGATGGCCTGCTGGGGACATCTGTGAGTGGCTCAGGAGGCACTGGAGAAGGCAGGACTCACACTGGGGAAGGACCACAGAGGAGACAGCCATGATTATCCCGTGAACACCTGTTGGGGGAAGGAGGTGACAGGCCACAGTCCACATGATTCAGCTGTGCCAGGTCATGAGCACAGCTGCCAGGAGACTCATTAGCACAGGTGGGTTCTCAGGTTGAAGGTGGCAACTGCCCCCTGGGGTGGATGGGAAGGGCATGTGTGCCTCCCTGCCAGGGGCCAGTTCTGGATTAGATGCTGCACATCTCTCTCTCATTCAGTCCTCACACCTGCACTCTGACTTGGGTGTTACTGCTTTCATTTTGCAGTTGAAGAAGTTCAGAAATGTTAATGAGCATACCCAAGGTCACACTCCGTCTTGGTTGCTCTAGGGGGTGGTCCTGCTCCAATCTCCAGGGGTGCAGACCTGACACAGGCCTCCAATCACAGCACTGCAATGTCTTGGGCCATAGTGATTGGTTCAGGGATGGTCACATGACCTAAGACAGGCCAATCAGTACATATGGCTCAATTTCAGGCTTTGGGTTGAAATGGTTGGGAAAGAGAAGTTTTCTTTCTTTTTAACCGGACACTGTGAGGACAGAAGCCTGGAGCCATTATGCGCCACCATATGAAAGAGCCTGCCTGGATGAAGCCAACACAGAAAGAAGCTGAACCAGCATGGGCAGAGGAGGCATCCTAAAGCCTTACTGACACTGTACATCAGGAGTTGTCAGTGATATGAGCCAGTAAATCCCCCTTTTTGTGCAAATCAATCTGATTTGTGTCATGGCACTTGCAACCGATACAGAGTTCTTAGAGGGAAGGATTGGATTTTTTTTTATCCTTTAGTGCTCAGCACAACATGGCATGCAGTAGGTACTCGGTAAGTGTTTACTGAACAGCTTTTTGAGCTCACAGCCCATCCTCTGTCCACTGCTACTGCACGCTTGCTGGCAGAGGTCATAGGGCATGCAGGCAAGAAGGTATGTATGTGGCAGGCCCTGAGACCAGCTGACTTGGCCTTTTTCTTTTGAGATGGAATTTTGCTCTTTTTGCCGAGGCTGTAGTGCAATGGTGTGATCTTAACTCACTGCAACCTCTGTCTCCTGGGTTCAAGCAATTCTTCTGCCTCAGCCTCCCGAGTAGCTGGGATTACAGGCACACACCACCATGCTCAGCTAATTTTGTATTTTAGTAGAGACAGGGTTTCACCATGTTGGCCAGGCTGGTCTTGAACTCCTGACCTCAGGTGATCCACCCAGCTCAGCCTCTCAAAGTGCGGGAGTATGGGCATGAGCCACTGTGCCTGTCTGGCCCTTCCTTAGGGGGACTGGCACACAGTGTCTAAAGGGAGAAAGACCCAAAAAAAACCTTCAGTCAGAGAGTATCCCTAAAACATGCATGATTCATGGGGCGTCAACCTCTCCCTATTCGTATCGAGATGGAAGTAAGCCTGGGAGAGGAGTGGACTCTCCAATACCCCCAGTCCCCTAATAATGTTTCCTTGCAGCTGTCAGAGCACAGGAGGGACTGGCCAGGGCTTCCTGACTTCTTCCTATAGCAGCTGGTCAGGGCTGGAAAGATCCTGAACTTGGAGTCATGACAGCGGGGTTCTACTCTCAGCTCTGTCATTAATTAGCCTAGACAAATCACTTCCCCTCTCTGAACTTTCTTCTCCCATCTGTGAAGTGGGGTTATTTGAATACCTGCCCTGTAGGTTGTTGTGTGCAGTGAAGATGATCATGCCTAGAAAAGTGCTCTGTGGATGGTGAGGCACTGGAGAGAGGGCAGAGTGGCCATCTTTTCAGGGATCCTTGTTGCATTCCCCCTTCAACTCCTACCATGGCCAGTGCCTCTCCCTACACCTCCTTTGTCTCTTACCTCTCTGTCATGGCTACCTGCTCCAGCATGGCAGAGCCTGTGTTGGCCTTCCAGTTCCCAGAGATGGAGGTTCTCCTGTACCAGAACAAATAACACATTGAGGGAATTAGGGACATTTGTCACTGATCTGGCTTCCTTCTTTGCTTTGACTGTTAGGAAGCTCTCATTCAAATACCTAGCTCACATAATGGCATGTATTCTTAGGTACACACCTTGTCTTCAACTATATTTTCCTATGTTTATTTCCCTTCATGCTGTTTGTCTTTTTTATTTGTTGGACCTTAGATATTGTTTTCTAAGTCATTTTTGAAATTGAAATATTAAATTTTAAAATGCCTACATCATCAGACGAAATCCCCCAAGCTTTGGCCTTCTGTTTTTGAAGAGAATGAGGGCAGTGTGTGTAGCCTCTGTTGATTCTGGAATTTTTTGAGAGCCCCAAAATGTTAGAAAAGTGATCCTAAGAGAGAAGACTACTTTTCTATGGTGAAGATTAGGAAGGCCTTCTGGTCTCTGACTGTTTTGCCACCCTTCTCTGTTCCCTTGCCTTTTCTGCTCCAGTAACAACCGACCTCCCTTCTGATGCTGTGCTTCCCACAGCTCTTTCCCAGAGTCATGGCCTCTGCATGTCTTCTTCCCTTTGCCCCATATGGTCTTTGTCTCCATCTTTGCCTCCCTAAGTCTTATCATCCTTCAGGTTTCATCTGACATACGACTTCCTGACAGGCCACCTTCCTCAGCAAAAATAGACTGCTCACTACTCCACCCTACACTAATGCTCAGTAATGCTCATCTCCCTTCTGATGACGGCTTTAGTGTCCTCTCTTCTTTGATGGTGGGGAACCCTGAGGGTAGGGGACATGGTTAACTGCATCCCCTGTATTACCAGTGGGACCTGGCAGGTAGTAGGTGCCCAGTGGGTACCTACTGGGTGAGGAACTGTGTACATTGAGGGAAAATCCAGACAAGCTATCTATCACTAATGGTACATGTGGCCTCGGCAAAGATTGAACGAGTTTAAGCACAGTGGTGGTGGTAAAGGTATTTGTCTATGGTCAAGGGAAAGTATGTGGTTGAGATCAAAGGGTGAACTGGGGAGAGGAATTGACACAAAAATATATCATTCGTAAAAGAGAAAACCAAATGTAAAGATGCTGAGAACAGATGACCACCAGGAGCCATGAGGCACTGTACTGTAGTTGGAAAAGTTGTTTCCCATGGGGCTACAGGTGCACAGTTCTGAGGCTGGGCACATACACTGAGATGGAACAAAAAAGTAGATAGATGGTGGATGGGGAGCCAGATTTTTCTCTGTTGGAATGGGAAGTTATAGATTAGCAATCGGGAAAGGCTAAAATGAACCAAGTGGTACCAGGGTACTGGATGAAAGTCAGGGACATCAATATGACTCTGTTTAGCTTATAGAGATGGGGATGGGGATATATAGAAATAATTATGGATAGATGTGCATACATGGGTAAGTATACACACATGTATTTCCTTACTGTATCTGCTAGGACCTAGAAAGAATGACAGCCCAGTAGCAAGTAGCACAAAGGCCCGAGTGCAGGGTAGGGAGTGGGCCAGAGAGGAGGTTGAATGGCCGGGGACATTCTATATTGAAGTCTGACACAAACCCCCTCATTTGGAGGTAGGCCAGCCCAAGGTCCAGGAAAGTCTGTAAGTAATGACAAAGTAGAGCTGTCAGGCCAGAAAGGCTCAGCAGAAAAAAATGCAGCAATGAGGTAATCCTCAAGAAAAGAAACTGGGACAAGGTGTCTTCAATGTCAAGTGGAAGCTCTAACAATGAAGAGAGGAGGGAAATGATATCATGACTGACGGCAGGGGCCTCAGGAATGCACTGGAATGGGCCATAACTCAGAGGGGGCAGGGAGAAGGTGACGTTATCACCCCAAGGCCATCTGAGAGCAGTGGCAGTTCTGGCCTGCCTCATGGGAGGAAGAGGGTGATTGATAGAATAAGGCAGAGTTACTCCTTGAGAACGAGCTCCAGCCCTTTCCTGGAAATACATCCTTGTAGGCCAACTGCCTGCATCTCCTCTAGTTTCTCAAGCAATGACAGGGTGCGGTAGTTGCAACAGAGATTGTATGGACCATCAAGCCTAAAATGACCACCTGGCCCTCTACGGAAAAAAGTACGTTGACCCTTGGTCTAGGCAATCTAGGTAGTGCAAAAGCAACCATTGGCAATTCATAAATAGGTGTGCATGGCTGTGATGAACAGAACTGTATTTAGAGACAGGTGGCAGCTGGATTTGGCCTGTGATTGTGGTTTGCCGACCCTAGCATAAAGCACAAGCTACTTCACACAGAAGTCCATGGATGGAGGGACTTTCCATCTGTCCAGAGCTAACCCTTGCAGTCCTCAGATATGGAGCCCTGCACACAGTCAGTACCCAATAAATGCTTGGCAACCAGGCAATGATTAGCCCTCTGTGGTCTCATTTCAAGTGGAACTAACGATAACATTCCAGAGTGAAAGACAGAGAGGGCTTGGAGCAAAGACCTCTCCCAAGAACAAGACAGTCTATCTATTCCAGAAGGCCCCACTCATCCCTATAACCACAGCCCCATGTAATCCATCCTTTGCTGAACCATCTCTAGGGTGAATGCAGGCTGCTTTTTTCTGCCTGGCATTCTTTCCTTTTCCTTTAGATTCAGCACCTCTATTTCCACTGGGCAATGGCCCTGCCCACATTGCATACCTTCACAGTGGGACTCTCCATACTGGTTTTCTGCTTTTCTCTAATCAATAAAACGTGATCAAAGTTGAACTAATCAGTACTTTTTCCATGGATTCGAAATCTTGAGTAAAGCCCTGAAAATGACTAGGGCAGATTCATTTACCAGTGGGGATGCCCAAAACTCATTTATTATTTCTGGCTGCCCAAATTCCTGGGGCTGCTCTGTGTCCTAATATTTCTGAAATTGAAAATTTAGGTGGGAGATGTTTTATTTGCTTTTTTGAAGCTTCTGATAACCCATGGTTTTCTAATAAATTCCCTTAAAAAATCCCCATTAAATTAATGAGATGTGGTTTCTGTTGCTTGCAGGCAGAGAAACCTGGCATAACCTCATAATTGGACTTATTGGCTTCAGAGAAACCCCTTTGCAACTCACAGCTTCATGGTCACCTTTTTATAAACACAGATCAGATCCTTTGCTTAGAAGGGAAGAGAAAAAAAATCCAAAACCTTCAGCGAGGTATTCAAAGCCTTCCTTGATTTGTCCCTAAATGTCTCTTTCAAAGACATATATCCTGTGTGTACTTGCAATTCCCTAGACATGGCAAGCGCCTTTCTTGCTCTGGAGGAAGCTGCCCTTGTTTGGATAGACAGATACCTGCCCAGCGATAAGCAGTGACCGAACATCAGCCAATTAGCTGCACTAACCAGAGAAGAAGGGCAGTTAAGGATACAGGAAGGAGGAGAATGATGCTCCCGTGGAGGAGACAGTGGCTGGACATGCACTTCTGGTCTCCCTTCCTCCCACGCTCCCCCAGCCCCTTCTCCAGAGACTCACATGTACGCCTTGTAGTTGGATCCAATTTTTTGGACGCGGATGTCATATTTGGAGTCGATGAAGGCCTCGGTGGTGGCATAGGTTTTGGCCATGGCGACCACACTGGTGATGTCCTGGAAGTCAAGCTGGTTTTCCACTTTGATCTGTGTGGGAGGACAAGCGGGATGAGTGCCACCCACCCCGTGTTCACCGAGCCCACCCTGTGCCAGGAATGAGTGCTCATCTCACACAAATTTCTTTTAGAAGGTCACCTCCCGGCAGGGCAGACAGACACAGGAAGTAAATCATTCCACCACACATTGCACAAGCTACAGAGAGGAAGGGAGCAATTCCACTCAGGTGTTCGAGAAAGCTTCATAGAGGAGGTGAGCTCTAAACTGGGTTTGGAAGGATGAACACGTTTCAGATGGATGAGGTAGTGGGGCCATCCTCCAGAGATGCGTGAGGAACCCACAGTGGGGGAAAGGGCAGGTGGCGCAGACTCACTGATAAGGGACACTGCACTGGCCATTGGGGGACAGACTGTGGAGGGCGTCTCTGGGAAGGAGCTAGGATTTTAGCCTGAATTTTCTGGAAAGCCACTGAAAGAGGGAGTGGTGTTTAAACAAGGAAATGGCATAGTTTGTGTTTAAGCAAAATCACTGAAGCAGTTGTGTAGAGCATTGAATAGAGGGGTGTCATATGTGACACAGAGAGACCAGTTAGGAAGAAGGGAGTGTTCATGTGTGTGTGGTATGTATGTGTAAGGTGCGTACATGCGTAGAGTTTGTGTTGTGGAGTTTGTGGGAGATGTCTGTGCGTGGCGTGTTTGCATGTTTGATGTATGGTATGTGTGGTATGTTCTTTATGTGTTCATATGGTGTGTGTGTAGTGTGTGATATATGTGTGTGGTGTGTTTGCTGTATGTGCTGTGGCTGTGTGTTGTACATGTGGTGTGTGATATGTGGTGCTTCTGTGTGTATGTGTGTGTGCATGCTGGCATGCACTGGAGAGTCTAGCTTCTCTCGGCCAGAGGCTGGGAGAGAAATTCACACTGTTTACTCGGCGGAGCCAGGAACACAGAGAGGTGTCCTGGGCTTGGGGAGAGGTCCCAGGAGAGCTTCCAAGGCCAAGTGCAGAGGACAAGGCCAAGGTTCCATGATAGTGATCTTAAGACAGAACAGAGGCTGACTCCCAGCGGCTATGGACAGCTGGGCCAGCTGCTCCCTCCCACTGGCCATGGGAGCCCTGCTTGTTCAGAAGTGGCTTCCCCTTTCCCTGTCACCCTCACCCCAACAGCAGAGGAGTTCTGATGCTGGGTCAGAGACGGGCAGAGCCCTGTGGAGCGGCTGGGCACTGGACGGTCCATGTGGGGTCTCAGACCACACCTCATCTCACGTCCTTCCGATCTCCTCTCAGCCCTTTCCTGCCTGCCCTTCGAGGCTCAGTGCTGCCTTGACAACTCCATACCTCCCACAAGAATGTCCACTCACACTTGTACCAGCTGCAGCACTTAAGCAGGGTCTTTATAGCTCTCCATGGGGCCCAAACAGGATTGTGAGCAGGCAGGCAGGCTGGGCATTGTTGTGGTCACTTAACAGATAGAGAAACTGAGATTTCTTGACTTGCTCAAGGTTACAAAGCAGCTGAGCCCAGAGATCAGCTTGAAACTCTGGACTCTGAAGGCACAGCTTTTCCTTGCACTATCTCAAGGGTCTATACATATGTGCCTGCCTGTTCTACCGTAAGGGACATAAACAGCAACAGGAGAGAGGATGGACAAGCCATCTCCCTTCTTGGCTCTCTGAGTGATGACTCCAAGTCTCAATTTGCAGAGAAAATAAAGGTGACCAGGCAAGAATTCCCTATCTTCCAACCCTTTCAAACTCATCAGCTGTCCCACTTCTTCCTCCCAGCTTCAGTGGCAGTGGTGTGCCTCCTCCCTTTGTTCTAGGCCTTCTAAGGCTCTGACTGCTGGCTGTCCCCACTTCCTTTAATAACAGGTTTCAGCTGGGTACCTGGCCTCCTCAGCTAGAGATTACTTTGCTTTAGTCTCTCGTGCAGGTAAATGTGCCCATCTCCAAGCTCTGGCCAATGAAAACTGGGTAGCTGTGATATGAGCAACCTCTGGGTGGTGGCCTGAAGATGAAGATAATCTTCCTGTCCTTTTTCCTTCTTTGCTCTGGCTAGGAATGTGAACATGATGGTATGAGCAGCAGCAGACAATTTGGGCCATGAGATGGAAGCTGCATGTTGAGGATGGCTGAGTAGAAAGATGGAAGGATTTGAGTCACCTGCACTGTGAAGCTCCTTATTAGCCCTTGACTTAGACTCTTACATGAGAGAGAAAAAAACTTTAATCTTGTTTAAGCCACTATTCTCTTGGTCTTTTTTTTTTCTTTCTTGAGATAGGGTCTCAATATGTTACTCAAACTGAGTGCTGTGGCATGATCATGGCTCACTGCAGCCTTGACTTCCTGAGCTCAAGCAATTCTCCTGCCTCAGCCTGCCGAGTAGTTGGGACTACAGGCATGTGCTACCACTCCCTGCTAATTTTTGATTATTTGTAGAGACAGGGCCTCACTATGTTGACCATGCTGGTCTGAAACTCCTAGGTTCAAGTGATCTTTCCGCCTTGGTCTTCCAAAGTGCTGGGATTACAGACTTGAGCCACTGTGCCTGGCCCCTATTACGTGGGTCGTTGTTAAAGCAGCCAAATGACATTTCTGCTCATTTTTTTAGTCTTTTGCTTTTCATTGATTCTTTATGCTTTGGATTAACATGATCAAGAATCCACCATTCTCCTAAATATGTTCCTGCTTTTCAGAACCTCAGTTACTTGCCACTGTCTATTTCTACATCTTCATTCCCCACTTGCCCCTCAACCCACTTTCTTTAGGTTTCACACACTACCATTCCCCTGAGACTGATTTGGCAAAGGTCCTGTTTGGTTCCCTCTTTGGCAAATTCCACAGAGGGCATTTGGTCCTTGTAGCACCTGAAATTGGTGAACTTTGGGAAGTACGATTTCCATAGCACTGTTTTTCCAGTTCTCACCCTTCCTTTCTGGCCACTTCTTCACAGTCTATGTTGCCACCTCTTCCACCAATGCCCCTTTGATGGTCCTGGGGTTTCATCTCAGCCAGTATTCAGGGTCAGGTGGAGAGAATCGGAATTGCCAAAATAAAAGAATGAGGTGAGTGTTTGCAGGGACAGCTTGTCTAATTCACATTTCTGTCCTTGGTGGCTTTGGGAAGAACCAGAACTTCTTTGGCACTTTGGTTTCCTAGACAGCCTTGAGCACAGAGTGGGCTACCTCGGAGATATCCAGCTGTCCACAGCATCATTTTCCTGCCTTACAGTCATGATACACCCTGATGCAGGGGCATGTGTCCACCCAGGGTGCACTTTACACTCTCTCCTCTCTCTGGCATCTTTGTACGGCTGTGTGGTCACATTTTAGCCAACAAGATGTGAGCAGAAGAGGTGTATGAACTTCCAGGATGGGCTGTTCAAGAGCAGGGGAGGGCTTTCTACTCCCCTCCTCTCTCCCTTTGCTGGCTGGAGTGTGGACCATCTTTGACAGTGTAGCAGAGGACAACACACCAGGGATGGTTGATCAATAAGATGGAAGAAGCCCATGTTCTTGAAACCATGGTGGTTCCACACCAGCCCTGGGTTGCTTTTGTGCAGACCAGAGAAAGGAAGTCCTCGTTTGTTTACACCATTCTAAGTCTTTGTTATGGCAGCTGAAATTTATCCCAATGATTATATAAGCCGTAAGTAAATTTTTGTTGACTACATCATGCATTCTTTCACAGGGTAGACAAAGAGAGCAAAGGGAGAAAGCACAGACACAGTGGTTTAATTAATTCAGGAGTGGGCAGCCGCCCTCTGGGAACCCTGCTCTTCTGTCTTAGTTTGAGTGGTTTTGCATGGGGGTTCTCATTCTTTCCTCTCCAACAGTGAGCATGGAACTCAGGTCTCTCTCTCCCTTTCTTTTTCTTTTTTGAGACAGAGTCTCACTTACTCTGTTGCCCAGGTTAGAGTGCAATGGCATGATCTCGGCTCATTGCAACCTCTGCCTTCTGGGTTCAAGCAATTCTCCTGCTTCAGCCTCCTGAGTAGCTGGGACTACAGGTGTGTGTGCCACTACACCTGACTAATTTTTGTATTTTTGGTAGAGATGGCGTTTCACCATGTTGCCCAGGCTGGTCTTGAACTCCTGACCTCAAGTGATCCGCCTGCCTCTGCCTCCCAAAGTGCTGGGATTACAGGCATGAGCCCAGGTCTTTTTTACACAGGTCTTTCAAAGCTTCAGGAGAGGCCCTGGCCCCAAATGTCCCTTTTTATTTTATTATTTATTTATTTACTTAAAGAGACAGGGTCTCACTCTGTCACCCAGGCTGGAGTGCAGTGCTACAGTCATGACTCACTGCAGCCTTGAACTACTGGGCTCAAGCGATGCTCCCACCTCAGCCACTTGAGTAGCTGGGACTACAGGCATCACCACATCCAGCCAATTTTATGTTCTTTTTCCTTACAGAGGGCCTCCTACACTGTATGATGCCTGGGCAATATAAAACTGGTTCTATACCCGGAACCACCATTTCTGTCTCCCGTTAGACTGTGAGCTTCTTGAAGACAGATGAGTGTTGTTCCCAGCTGTTGCACTGGTGCCAGGTACACTGCATACACTCTACACGAGTCTGCTGGATTGAATTTAAGAAGGCTGGATCAAGATCTGCTTATAATTTGGGGAGGGGAGGCAAGAAACTGGAAGGAAAAACAAAGGAGTTAAAAAAAAAAAAAGGCAAAGAAACTGTGTTTCAAAGAAATTTATCTTTTACAAAGTGGATCTTTCCACGCATTCTTGGGTGGGTGCTAAGCTCTCCGAGGGTTACTGCCTCCTTCATGAGTTCTTGTGAACCGGAAGAATTCCAGGATTCTGGTAAAGGGGGCAGATGGTCTGGAGCCTGGGTGGGTGGGTGCTGGAGGGGACTCTGGGATGGTCCTAAGGCCAGAGGGTAGGTGAGGCGAGAGGGCACTGGGGACACAGCCCTGAGGATGGTGAAATGGCTGCTGGCCTGGGCAGGGAGTCTTGGCACTCCGCTTTATTTACTGGCTGGAAATCCCTCCAAGGGTTCACAAAGACAAGCTGAAA